GCCGCGCTACGGCCTACTCTTATATCGAATTCCAACTGCCAAGGGATCTTTTACGTGCACGCCAATGTGTACACGGGACCTTGATTTTTCGTCCCATCCGAACGACTAGACAGCTGTCCTTGTCCGGCCCTTCGTCCTGCATCGCTGACAAGGGGGAAACCACGCCGGAAAATCGTGATGAACTTTCTCGGCCAATGCAGGGACCTCCAGGCTAGCGAGCCAGCGTCTTACCCACTTAGCCACGCGATCCCCCATTTTGAAAATTAGAGGGCCGCAAACGCGTTTTCCAGCCCAGAAAATCGTTTTCTAGCGAACTCTGAACAGTGAACATAGTGGCAAGCAATGGCCCACGATAGTGCGCCATTGGACCAGTCAGTACAAAAAATAGGACAGATAGATATCAGAACATAACCAATAATATGTAATGTATGCATCATCTTCATACTACTCAAACAGTACTCCCATATAGTTCACCATAAGCTTAACCGGTGTGCTACCAACCAAGTCAAAAAAGGTTCCAAGTTGGGACTGCTGTCTATTACAAACAGTAGGTATTTTCGAAATATGGTTGGCAAACCTTTTTCAGGGTGGGGAGGGGGTGGGGTGCTACGGGTATGCAAATACGAAACGAATTTATCATTCCCGTCTTCATTAGCCCAGGTTAGGAGCAGAACAGTAAGACGTTAAACCCCATTTCATTTCATTTTCTCTTTCGAACGAATACCACCAGACACCGGTATAGCCGATTATATAATTCGTATAGCCGAATATCATAACCAAGAGAGAAATCGCGGATTGTCAAGTGGATTCAAACCCTTTCAAGTGAATTCCGCCCTTTAGTCAGGTCCATACCTGCTTGATAAACCAATATAGTTATATATAATAATCATATGTTTCTACTTATGAAATGAAATAGAGTTTAAAGGTTTACTTTACTGCACCTACCGGGCTAATGAAGATGAGCATTCGCCACGCAGTGTGCTATAAGGGACATTGTGCCCCCGCATAAGTATTTCTTTCTACTCTTTTTCGAATTCCAATTGTCAAAAGAATTTCTTTTTATTTATCTGCACGCCAATGTGTACACGGGTGGTGCCGTGTTTGATCCCGGTGTTGGTCGAGAAAGTTCATGGGGACTGTCCGGCGCGGTTTCCACGGCGTCATTTCTCTTTATCAGCGCCAGTGTACCGGGCAAAATTACCCTCGTAGCACACTGTAAGGCATGGCATAAGCCTGTCTTTATTAGTCCATTCGGAGCAGAATAGTAGGACGTTAAACACCATTTCATTTCATTTATATGGAGATACCACGAATATATATACTATTCAAAAAAAGTAGGGGATATTTGATTTTGGGGGCATAATACTAAAATATGCAAATGACTACGAAAAAAGTCACTATAGAACCTAACAGAAGAAACATTTCCAGTTACATGTGACGCCCAAACGCACCAATAGCTACCGCATGGAATGCAGGTGATGCTTGGGATCATCATGGGGGTCCAACCCAAGATTTGCACGACTCTGACTTTGAATGTTACAGTCATTGTGGCATTGAATTCCAGGGTGGAAACATCAGTTTAATTGTTTTAGTGACCAGAAAACAAATTTTGATATGCGTCGGCTTACCCAAAATGAAAGGTTACGTGCCCTTGGCATGCTACAGATCGGCACAACACAGGCGGTTGTGGCGCGGACGATGAATGTTTCTCAGTCTGTCATAAGCAGGCTATGGTCCAGATACCGTGATACACAATCTGTACAGGACAGACCACGCTCAGGTCGACCAAGGGCGACAACTCAAGCCCAGGATCGATTTATCCGTACCTTGGCCTTGAGAAATCGTGTCATCACAGCAAATCAGATCAGCGCTCGTCTTCAAACAGACACTGGTGTGAGAGTGAGTGGCCAGACGATTCGGAATCGACTGCATAGGGGTCACCTTCGCGCCCGACGTCCTCGCGTGATCCCTTGTTTGAGAGATCATCACATTCAGGCAAGACGTCGTTGGTGTAGGGATCGTCAACACTGGGATAATCGACGCTGGAGCAATGTGATGTTTTCAGATGAATCAAGGTTCACTGTTGATTTTTTGGACAGACGTAGGAGGGTGTGGCGTCGTCGAAACGAGCGCTTCCAAGACGTTAACGTCATCAGACATGATCGATTTGGGGGTGGTTCTGTTATGGTGTGGGGAGGCATCACTGTTGCTGGAAGAACGGCTTTACATGTTGTTGCAGGGCGTGTTACAGGCCAGTACTACCGGGACAACATCTTGGCAGTCCATGTTGTGCCGTTCGCACGACGTCATGGCCGCCGTTTCATCTTCCAGGATGACAACGCAAGGGCCAGGGTCGTTACAGGCTCCAACAACAGAACATCACCACATTACCTTGGCCAGCACTGAGTCCCGACCTCTCCCCCATCGAGCATGTCTGGGACATGCTTGGACAGAGGTTACGTCAACGTCAACAACGTCCTGCCAATGTCCAAGAACTTGCTGCTGCGTTGCAACAGGAATGGGACAATCTGGACTAAAATGACCTTAGACGTCTCATTAGGAGTATGCCACGTCGGATCAATGCTTGTTTGGCAAACAGAGGAGGATTTACCCGTTACTGACTTGGTTGTGATGCTGTGGTAACTTTGCTGTTTGACCCCGGGTATCATTTTACCCTTATAATGGTCAGTCTGTGCCTTACTTAGTCTAACGATCATTTGGAATAAATCGATGAATGTGAACTTCATTTCATTTTGTCATTTGTTTCTTCGTCAGTTTCATTAGGTGACTTTAATAACACTTAAAAATCAAATATCCCCTACTTTTTTTGAATAGTATAGATAGAACTCAATGACCATTGAATACCGCTCGGGTTATTCAATGGTTCAAGAGAGTATTGAACAACTTTTACATCGTTTTTATATCGACTACTATAATATTGCCATTCTTTTTAACAGAAAGCGTAAATATAGAGCCTGGTCTAGATGAAAAGATCCCCAAGGCCATTCCACTATAAGGCCCCCACAAGCCTCCAACCAAAACGACTATAGGAAGATGAAAGTATATGTTTTAAACACAACTGAGTGTCAAACTATAACACGTTTAACGGGGGCCCAATACTCCAGTCTGCCAATTAGGTGAATCCAACACTCTTACGAATTAAGACTTAAAATTTGATTAAACATATCCAAATTGGCTTTTAATAAGCTGAAATAACTATTGTATAAAGTACGTAACGTGGTTTTGATCCATAGCGTGTATGTGACATATAAGGTGTAGCGTCGACTGCCCAACTTTTCAGGGTCCCCGGTAAGCTCCAATTGCTAAAGACCCCTACGCGCAAGTGAAATATTGAAATACAATCGTTCCCTGATAGTCTCGAATTACCCCCACCCCCACGCCCCCCACACACCATGGTAACCCACAAGGATCTATTTTAGGGTCGTTATTTATTATGTGCATGATCGTCCTCTTCATTTAGAGTAATACTGTGGTTTATTTGCAGGTTATACGACAGTTTATTCACCAGCTTTCAATTAATATAAACTCAAAATTGATTTACAACGTGATTCTAGTATTCAACCAGGGTGACCACAATTCACTGATTGTTAATGAATTAAAAACAAAATGCATGCTAATATCTACTAAACAGAAATTAATTGATGATAATAATATCGCGAACAGTGTAAATTCCGAAAGGCGTTTCTATAGTATTGCAGGGAAGTAATATTTCATTTTAAAAAATGACAATAGAAAGGGGGAGGGGGGCTCCCGTGCACCCCATAACCTCTGTATCCGCACCTGTTTAATATATTTATTATTGTTATGTAATCAATTTTGTTCCAGGTTATTAAGAGGTTTTACCTGTTAAAGATACATTATGGGAGATTAGACAAAGAGCTGGCAGTTCTCACTATAATGGTTAAAAACTAAATAATGTAAACGTAATTTGCTGAAAATTTCAGTCAGATTGATCCACTCTGAACCGAGATTTTAGCGATTGAATATTCGGCCTAGCCTCGATCATCATTGCTAAAGTCGGGACGATAAAAAACATAGTCTCGATTATCCAATTCATGATTAAATTATGAATGGAAGCCGAACAGCAAATCGGAACCTAATCCAATAAACACCACAGGCTAGCGATGACATCGGGGGTTGGTTATGGTCTGGATAAGTTAATTAATTTCTATTTAATAAATTAGATAACATTTCAGGCCTAAAAAAAAGACCCGCAATAGGCAGATTTAGCTTAACTAATTACAAAAACAGGACTATTAATCTATTGGTTTTACAAGTTTAATAAATTATGCGGCTCAATGCGAGGTTTTGATTAAAATAAATACCTTGAAGAGTGGACGCTGTGATTTTAAAAATCATTATCGGTATTTTACAATGTTGAATATTTTAATTTTAAGTTTAATGAATGGAAAAGATTATATTATATTGCCAACCAGCAGAAACCAATCATGTGTGTGAAATAGCTCATATTGATAGCGAAGTGGTATTGCCGACAATGAAGGGGGGGGGGGGGGGTTGGATGGCCGAATGGTTAGCACGTGCGTGCTGTATCATAAAGCCTGTCATTGAGTCAACTGGCGTGGTTTCGAATCCACGGTTGTACGTGACAAGGATGAGCCATGAGGGTCACCTGTCCAACCTCGTGGGTGTTCTCCGGGGCCTCCGGTTTCCACCCACAGCTAAAGATCCCTACGCGCAGCGAATTCTTGAAATAAAATTTAAAAAAACCCATAATGTTATTCCAGAAATGACCTAGTTTGTGTCGAGTGGACGTTAAAACCCCATTTCTCTCTCTCTCTCCCGACAATGAAGAAGTGTGTGATTTTGCCTGGTCCAATAAAATACACCGCCAGGATATACGGGACTACTTCCACTTTCCTAATGAAGTCCCGTACTACCAGTCGTATTGGACCGACAGATTGCCGTTTTGTTGTGACCGCGGTTCACATTGAGAGTTGAACCTAGAAAGGTGACAATTATTTATTTACTGAGGTTCGATCGGCAGCCAAGTTGGCCAAACATACAACACAGACCCGTGCTTTAGTTTTACTCTATTCTATTTTGATGCCAAAGAAAGTGACCTATTAATGAACCTGATGACCGTATAAGCCTGAACTTAACTGCCAGTTAACTCGTCCACCGGCAAACAGTTAAATCGTCCACAACTAATGGTTATGTCGTCCATAACTTGTACTTGACGCGTACACACTTAATTGTAAGGATAAATAAGTTTTGCTCATCAGTCATCGGTTGTTTTAATTGTTTTATTTACCCAATAATAAACAAACTTGATTGACCGATGACAGCCGAGATATATTGGTTCACTAATAAAGTCAGATATGGATACTCCAAAATATAAACAGAAATGAAATGAAAGAAAAGGGTTAACAGTGACAGCCAACTATTCTGCACAGACTGTAGGGCTAAAATGGGTAGGCTAGACGGCATACACCATACAAAATGTGCTATGAGGGTATTTTTGCCAAGACAGCGGCACGCAGCCTACTCATCATATTTCAATTTCCAATTGTTAAGGGTTATTTCATGTAGTCTACACAGGATCTCGGTTTTCCATCCCATTAAATGACTGGGCATTGTCCTTGCCATACCCTCGATCCGTCCTGCATGGGGAAACAGGGACTGAAAATCACGAGGAAATTTCTCGGCAAACCACAGGAACGAACCCAAGACCTTCAGGAAAAATCATTAGGAACTTTATCAACCGACAAACACCATGTTTGAACCCGAGACAGTCATGGTTATTTTGTTCACTGGACTTTTCTGGGAGAAACTTTGCTTAATCTTTCTTTCTTTTTTGCAGTTACATAACAGATTACAACAATCCCTTATTGTCCAGTACTTGTAGTTGAAGAAATTACCAGTTTTAAAAAAAGAAGACCAGAACACAAAAATAACTATTAAAAACATCACATGAAAGATCATGCACGGCTCACGTATTACCAGAACCCTGTGCAGTTCCTGTTTGCGGCGCCAATCTACCATAAAAAAATCGTATGACACGGCCAATGTCAAAACATTGCAGCTTCTCTATGGATATAATCAGCCAGGATATTCCGCTCAAAGTTTTTTTAGTTTCCTGCAAATCACAAACGGAAGGAACATAAGTACGAGTTCCAGACTTGTTCCAACTTTCCAAACAGTTTTTAAACCAGCCATATATCATCCGTCCTTTAATTTAAAATATAGACAACCGTGGAAAATTAGTAATTTAAGTGCCTATCGGAGCTTTCATACAAGTCCCAGACGGAATGTACCACCATTTTTATGGTTGTTTATTAAACCTATAGCAAAAGTTGGCGCCATCTTGACTGGCAGGTGAGTGGAAAACAAACAAAAGAAGAAGTGGAAACTCAAGTTGACTTAAGACAAGACTTGCGACTTGACTTTAAATATTTATCGTGAATTGAGACTCGACTCAGACTAAGCAGTAGTGACAACTTGTGACTAGAAAAAGCTAAGGACTTGAGTTGCAGTGAGGGGACATAACTCTTAACTTGCCTTGTTTGCCATGAATTGCTGATTTATTTGATGAACTGGTGACTTGAAGCTTTGTGAAGACTTGGAAGTTGACGTGACCCAGTACAAAAGTCAGCGACATGGGACTCGACTCGAACTCAAGGTCCTGCAACGTATTCCCACCTCTGACTAAAGACTGGATTGTTTTTGTAGTCCAGATCACCTTTATGATACAAAAGGTTGGATGGTCTAATGCGTGCACTTTAGATCATAAGATCTATCTTTGAGTCAAGTAATGTAGTTTTGATTCTGAGCTTGTACGTGACAAGGAGTAGGGTCGTCATGGGATTATGTTCATTCAGAACGCAAAGGTAGTAATTTTACATGTAGATTACAAGATTTTGATTCTATTAAGCCTAGCTCACAATCTGTCGTACCTGCTGCTAAGGGCAGGCAACAGAGGGAAATTTTAGTAAACCCAGGCGTGAGACTTACGTGTCACTTGCATGTGTTTGGCACTGTAGAAGATCATAGAGATTTTGGTCCTGCACCTACAAAATTTTCGGCCCGTTTCTTGCGGCTAGTCTGCATATTACTAAACCATATTACCTGTGCGTGTCAAAAGTTGTGAGCTAGGCTTCAGCTTACAGCCAGGACTTCAGTCTATAGTATAAATAGCATACACAAGTACACAGTGATCTTTGACCATTTAGCTGCGGGTTGGGTAGTCTAGTGGTTTTAGTTGAAATCATAAGGTTTGTCATTGAGTCAAGTGGCGTGGTTTAGATTCCCCGCTTGTACATGTATGTGAAATGGCTTAGGGTCGCCTGTCGAAACCTCGTGGGTTTTTTCTGCATCCTCCAGTTTCTTCCCACAGCTAAAGACCCATTACGCGCATGCAAATTATTGAATTAAAATTGAACCATATGTTAGTCCCAAAATAACCTAGTTTGTGTTGAGTGGAGATTACCCCCCCCCCCCTCTCTCTCTCTCTGTTGACCATTTATTTAGCAGTTCGTGATTTAAAGTGAAGTATGGAAATTATGGGGAACAATTTTCAGCTGCGAGGTACTTGATAAAAATCTCTCTTCGATCCAGATTCAGGTGCTCAATAGCACTCTAGCTCGGTAAACCTTTGAAAAAGAAAATACTACTTATATCCTTTATTGTTTCAGAAGTACAAGAAAATGGTGGAAATCTCAAACGAGAGATAGAAAGTTTTTTATTTTAGGAAAAGCTTTAGAAAGATGGCACTTCATATTATTTGGTGGTAAGACTATAATTATCTTAATTATTTATATCTGCCTGTATATATATATATAGCAATATGCTATGTAGTGCAAGCATGGGCACATATATGGAGCAAATTGATTTTCAACAATTTCTGATATTTGATATCAAAGTTATTGCCCTTGACCACTTTGAAAAACCTTGTAGTCGCTCTAGAGGCTAAAGTTATCATCTGATTGTGTTGAAATTTATGTTAATGAGATGAAGAAGCCTTTTGATTTTAAAATCAAACAGTTAAGTTAAAATATGATTACCTATATTTAATTAGAAATTTCTCGGATGAAATAATTTTTGTGTTTCAATGGTAACACACTTCGACTTAGTTGTTTAAATTCCCAAGTACATCTTATAAACTTTTTGAGATAACTTTATGAAATTTTCCTTGTGAAACAGATTTTGTCTATCCTTCTACCATCTAAGACATGTTCAGGATGAAAAGCTGTAGTCCCGTGTTGTTGATGTGTGCATAAAAGAACCCTTGACAGTTTGAATGCAAAGTAGGATATTAAACCCCATTTCAACCCAAACCCATGTTCATGAAGGCAAGATGTTGATGATTGAGTGAGTCGGCCATTTTGTTATTTTTGAGGATGTTGGTGATTGAGTCGGCCATCTTGTTATTTTCAGAATGTTGATGATTGAGTCGGCCATCTTGTTATTTTCAGAATGTTGATGATTGAGTCGGCCATCTTGTTTTTTCAGGATGTTGATGATTGAGTCGGCCATCTTGTTATTTTCAGAATGTTGATGATTGAGTCGGCCATCTTGTTTTTTCAGGATGTTGATGATTGAATCGGCCATCTAGTTATTTTCAGGATGTTGATGATTGAGTCGGCCATCTTGTTATTTTCAGGTATAAGTTGTATAATTACTGCTGTTATATATTATCGCATACATCAAGAAGTTTCGCCAATCACTGGAAGACAAAGATTTATAGCTTTTACGCCCAGTCAGTTTCTGAAGATCGTCCAGGCTGAAGCAGACATGGTAAGTTATATCTGTATGGCGCAAGAGCCAACAAAATTATACAAGAACACACTTAAAGTGTCAGTGCGAATGACTGGAGTGATCATCGCTACAGTTCCTAATCTTTTCTATTTATGATCATAAATTTGGGGATTGTTCATCCATGGTAAACTGCAACATTGTGAAAGTTGAATCTTTTAAAAGAAATGTCAGCCCAAAAAGTGGTTGAATTCTGTTGACAATTCCATTTACAAAGATGTGATGAATTGAAAGATTGTCAACATTTGTCATTCTCTGTAGATGATAGAAACAAATCTTTGTTACCAATAATAAGTGCTTTTAGTCCAAATCTAAAACAGGAGATTAACTACCACTGACATTGAAATGTGGTCGTATGTTGTCGTCACCCCCGTCCGTCCGTTTGTCCAGCGTCCACAATTGCTTGTGGACGCTGTAGAGGCTAAAGTTAATATCCGATTGACATTGAATTTATACACAGTGTTTAAGGTCATGAGATGAAGAAGCCTATTGATTTTCAGCAATTTCCAATAATTACTGCCAAAGTTATAACCCTTGATCACTTTGAAAAATCTTGTGACGCTCTAGAGGCTAAAGTTATCATCCGATTGACTTAAGATTGATAATTACTTCATGAGTTGTTACTCTTAATAAGATTTAAGTGTATTATAAATGTTTCATTACCCAAAAAAGTAAAAATATGCGACAACACTTGTTGACTGCCGGGACGATTTAGCTGCTGTGGGCATATGTTTTGTTGCCTGGCAACCTATCTTTGTGCTTTCAATTGAATATGAATTTGTAAAACATTAGCGTGGATAAATTGAAAAAAAATGGAATTGACGATCAATGGTTTTAAATACAACAATCTGGTCTAAAGAGGTGAATTTTAATTATTTAATTTTATGTAGTATATTCGACTGAGAAAGCAATTTTAAGATTTTTATTTTACAGTATACAGAACAGTATAATGATAAGTTATTACCTGCTGATCACCGATTGGTTGAATATGTTAAAAATATTACAATGCGATTGGTTCATGGTAATAAGGAGTTAAAGGAAATGTCCAATCAACAATGGACGATAGCTGTTGTAGATGATGTCACTACCAAAAATGCTTTTGTGCTTCCTGTAAGTTGAACAATAAGGGCTTGTTATTAATTGGTATAGTGTTATCAGTTGGGTTATTATCCTTCCACAATAACTTAACTTAAATAATTTTAAGAATTAAGCCTTTTCAATGGTCAAGAGCTCATATTTGTAATATGATTTTAAACTCTTAACCAATGAAAAGTCATCATTCTTAAAATGTTTTTGTGTGAAAATTCACTGGACTTTAAATTTAAATAAGAATATATTTGGCAATCCCATTCCATATTGCCAAATTAATGTACAGGCTTTAATGGCTGCAACCCAGGGGCATCTGCGACAGCAAACTGGCGGATCTCCAAAGTTTAAATGAAAAGCTATTTCATTTGTGGATGTGGAAAGTATCTTAAATTTCTATATATTTATAATTCACGTATTATGGCAGGCAATGTCATTTTTGGACTAACATATGAGAGAGAGAGAAATGGGGTGTAATGTCAACTTGACACAAACTAGGTCATTTCAGGACTAACATAAGGTTCAATTTTATTTCAATAATTCGCTTGTGCGTAGGGGTCTTTAGCAGTGGAAGGAAACCGAAGAAAACCCATGAGGTTGGACAGGGGCTCCTTCTCCTTGTCACGTACAACCGGGGAATCGAAACTGGGACTAACATATGGTACAATTTTATTCCAATAATGGGAGGATATTGGAGGCCTCACATAGAACCCAAGAGGGTGAGCAGGCGACCCTATTCCTTGTTATGTACATAGTACATGCTTCACTTAACTTAAGGACAGACCTAATGATCTAAAGTGCATGACTAACTCAATGATTTGAATATTGTTTGTTTGAGTGTTTTGAATATCTTTGTTTTAGACCGGCCATATCGGGGGGTTGGATGGCCGAATGGTTAGCACGTGCAAGCTGTATCATAAAGTCTGTCATTGAGTCAACTGGCGTGGTTTTGAATCCACGGTTGTAAGTGACAAGAATCAGGGTCGCCTGTCCAACCTTGTGGGTTTTCTCTGGGTCCTTTGGTCCAACCTTGTGGGTTTTCTCTGGGTCCTTCGGTTTCCTCCCACTGCTAAAGACCCCTACGCACAAGCGAATTATTGAAATAAAATTAAACCATATGTTAGTCCCAAAATGACCTAGTTTGTGTCGAGTGGAGGTTAAACCCCATTTCTCTCTCTCTCACCGGCCATATTGTTTGTTTGAGTATTTTGAATATCTTTGTTTAAGACCGGCCATAATGTTTGTTTGAGTGTTTTGAATATCTTTGTTTCAGACCAGCCTTATTTTTGTTTGAGTGTTTTGAATATCTTTGTTTCAGACTGGCCATATTTTTGTTTTTACGGGTATTTTAAATGTTGCCGATAATGAAGATCAGCTGGCCATTGTGATTGGTCATGAAATGTCACATGCTTTATTATCACATGCAGTAAGTTGAAATATTAGAAATTATTTTTATTGGGATTATTCTGCTGTTCAAAACTTAGTTGTAGAATTATTGTCCTTGTCATTGAAGTCTTGTAAACATTCTTCTGGCCAGGAGTATAGCTGAAGGATTCTTCTGGCCACGCAACTCTGGTGTACTGCATAGAAGGACAGATATTTCTCTGTATTCAAGATACAAGACGGCTGAAACAATTTCATTTTCAAATTAAAACACTACTTGCTATCGAAAAGTATGTTGATGATTTGTGTTTTTCATAGGGGTATCTGTATAAATGCATATCTATATTTTGTTTCGTTTTTTTATACGCCCACATTTTCATGTGGACATATATTGTCGTCGCCCCTGTCCGTCCGTCCACAATTGTTTGTGAACAATCTACAGGTCACAATTTTTATCCGATTTCAATGAAACTTGAAATATAGGTTTATCACCCTAAGATCTCGGTTCCTTTTGATATTGGCATGTATCGTACTGTAGCTTCATGGATTATGGCCCCTGATTGTATGAAAAATCACGTTTTTAGCTTGTGAACACTGTAGAGGTCACAATTGTGACCGTCCGCATCTAAATGAGTCGAAATGCGCAAGAATCAATAATGAGATAAAGACAAAATAAGTGAAAATTTTGATTTTGAACGAAATTGAGATTTTCACAAAAATGAGTCTATAAATATACTATTTATTGACACAGAAGATCAAAATAGCAATAAAACATTTTAAAACACCTGTATTTGAACGTTTTGTAAGAATACCGTATTCTTAAATCTGTCCTATTTCTTAAAATTCTTGGCAAAATTAGTTATTTTTCTTCGCTCGCAGTGGAACGACCGGCCATTCCTTTTGCCATCGTTGTAAAGCGGAGCATCTCTAGTTTATAAATATGATCAAAATATTGTCGGTGAATTGATTTTGAACGGATACAATCAAGTTTTAAACCCCTCCAAAAATATAAATAAACTCCGTCTGTTACCATGCTGTCCACACAACTCCTTTGCTGATTGGCCCAGACACCACATGCAAGACATTATCGATAAATATTTGGTTTTGGCAATGTTTTTGGGTACTTTCATGCGATTCACTCTGATAAGTGGCAGAAAAAAAAATTCTGATCGTATACATTGCCGTTGAGTGTTAATAGAAACCACGTGGCTGAAGATGTAAATTAATCGACAAGCGGGTGTGTGTCATTGAGTAATACTATTACTAATCAACTGTCACGGGTCAATGATAAAGCCGTCTACAACTCATTATTTACTCTGAATAATTAATCCAAGTGGTGATTGTTTGATATCTCATATCATCTTTAAAAAAATAATCTATAGGCCTTAAATGGAAATAAACAAAATGGCCAATAATGTTATTTTCGAAGAGAATTTTATTAATAGCTGAATTCCGTTTACCGTCGCTTCTTCATACGGCATGCAAAGTAAGGAATGCATTTTGGATATTATTGTTTAAAATTCTCTTATCACAATGGGTCGAAAAAATGAGAACGACCAACGAGCCGAAATGCGACGATTCTCGGGTCTGCCATTGAGTATCCACTGAATAATGTTGATATTTACATCAAAGCCAAAATGCACGAAAGTGAACGTAAGCATTGACTATGAAATTGACATTTCTATAGGGACTCATATTTTGATAACGTCACGGTACCTGAAAATAATAATAGACCTATCGTACACGGAAAATCCTATTTTAATTCACGTGTTAAATGAACACGCGTACAGCTGTTGCGGCTTCTTTGATGATAATCCAATCAACAATCTTAATCTCCTGACCACTAGCTGGCACTAAGGTGCTAATTAATTGATGAGATTAACTGAGTTAATCTCACTAAAGTTACATTATACACAACAGACTAGTAATGTATAGATTGTTCTTCAGTATAACACTATCGTGTGAATATTATGCCGTATGTGTTGTGGATGTTTCGTTACGAAAGGAGTGCATTTATTATGATTTTCGTCGTCAGAACCCTTGAAATCCTAAATAAAAACATATTAAACGAAAAAATATAGCAAATAAATTGCGGAAATAGTCAGATCAAATTTATACTACGATTTTCGTCTTCAGCAACCCTGAAAACCCACGGAAAGATATATTCAACGACAAAACAGCAGATAAATGGCCTGGTTGCTATGGGATTTTGTTTTGGAACATACCAAATCTTTGACTTGCTTTTTCTCAAAACTTACTTTTGTGAGTTGGGTAGCTTCTAATGGACATAGCTCAGTCAATTTTTGCCCAATTCAAACAAACTATTCATCAAATTGAAGGTAATGAGTTGGAGAATGTGAAAATAACAATAACTCAATTTTCAAAATTTACTCATTGTGACTCTGTATGCTGTGGGGGGTCACAATTTTTATCCGATTTAGTTTAAACTTAAAATGTATGATTATAACCCAAAGATCTCGGTTCCTTTCGATATTCGCGCATATCTGAACGTAACTTCCTGAATTATGACCCCTGATTATACAAAAAATCACGTTTTTAGCTTGTGGATTTTCTAAAGGTCATAATTGATTTTATCTCATTTTAAAAATCGTTTAAATGTATCAACATTCCACCATAATGAAATTTGAATTTAGGGAAAATCAAAACGAAACTTCCCGACAAAATGGCTGCTCTTTGTACGCAAATTGTGTAAAAGTAAGTAATACAAAGTATGTAATCACCGTTACACCCTAAGGATGGCCGAGTTCGAATTTCGTGAAAATCGGCCCAAAATTGACAGACAAAACGGCCGCCGTTCGTTCTCAAATAGCGTAAAAATATGGTATATCAAGGTTGTGGACCCTATAGAGGTCACAATTTTTATCCGATTTTGTTGAAATTTTGAAATGTAAGTTTATAACCCAAAGATCTTGATTCCTTTCGATATTCGCGCATATCGGACCGTAACTTCAGGAATTATGGCCCCTGATTGTACGGAAAATCGCGTTTTTAGCTTGTGGACCCTATAGAGGTCATAATTGTTATCCTATTTAAAAAAACGTATTATTATATCACTGTTACACCCTAAGGATGAACTAGTTCGAATTTATGAAAATCGGCCCAAAATTGACAGACAAATGGCCGCCGTTCGTTCTCAAATAGCGTAAAAATATGGTATATCAAGGTTGTGGACCCTATAGAGATCACAATTTTTATCCGATTTTGTTGAAACTTGAAATCTAAGTTTATAACCCAAAGATCTCGGTTCCTTTCGATATTTGCACATATCGGACCGTAACTTCCTGAATTATGGCCCCTGATTGTACGAAAAATCGCGTTTTTAGCTTGTGGACCCTATAGAAGTCATAATTTTTATCCCATTTAAAAAAACGTATTATTATATCACCGTTACACCCTAAGGACGAATGAGTTCGAATTTCATGGCCGCCGTTCATTCTCAAATAGCATAAAAATATGGTATATCAAGGTTGTGGACCCTATAGAGGTCACAATTTTTATTCGATTTTGTTGAAACTTGAAATGTAAGTTTATAATCCAAAGATCTTGGTTCCTTTCGATATTCGTGCATATCAGACAGTAACTTCCTGAATTATGGCACCGTTATATCCTAAAGACGGCTGAGTTCAAATTTCGTGAAAATCGGCTCAAAATTGACAGACAAAATGGCCGCTGTTTGTTCTCAAATAGCGTAAAAATATGGTATATCTAAGTTGTGGACCCTATAGAGGTCACAATTTTTATCCGATTTTGTTGAAACTTGAAATGTAAGTTTATAACCCAAAGATCTCGGTTCCTTTCGATATTTGCGCATATCAGACCATAACTTCCTGAATTATGGCTCCTGATTGTACGAAAAATCGCTTTCTTTTTAGCTTGTTCTCTATACATCTCTCGAAAAATGTGGGCGTATCCTGCCTGGCAGCCGCTGGTTTATACTTTTGATGGCCTCCACTACAAGAAGATGTGACCACTTTTGACCCTATGATGTCAGTCAGTTGATTAACCAATCAGCATCGACATTCCAAATGGCTGTTCAAAAATACAACTTTAGCTATGTTGTGTTTTCTATTGCTGCAAGTGTCTACCCAGAGTCCCGCACGCCACATGATAAGAACTCGACTCAACAGACAATTGATTGGCTTATCTCTCACATCACTATATAACACATGTTATTAGATAACTCTTCCAGATTTTGAAATTTTGACCTATAAAAAATGAAATGAAATAGGATCTTGATTTTAATCAAATTGTGGAGGGGAGGCAATCTCAAGGACCTGCTCGAGCAGCACAATCTCTAGGTATGCCATTGAGATATTGTATTTCATTTTCAGGCAGAACAACTCAGTTTCGCTCAGTTGATTGACATCTTTGTGATAGCTGTTATGGCTGCTATCTGGACAATCATGCCTACAGATGGTTTAGCTGTGGTTACCCAGTGGTTTTATAATAAATGTATACAGGTAATCTATATATATATATATATAATAATAATAATAATAATTTTCTAGAGTACTAAACATTCATTGAGTCAGTTTGTATTATACATTTGTGAATACGATATTGTAGTTGGCAAGGGATTCAAAATCTATAGTATTTTTGGAATAAAGATATACGTTATGTTAGTCCTGAAATGGCCTGGTTAATGTTGAGTGTGAGAGAGAGAGAAATGGGCTTTAACGTCCACTCAACATAAACTAGGTAATATTGGGACTAACATATGTTTCAGTTTTTCTTTGATTATTCGCTTGCACGTAGGAGTATTTAGCAGTAGGAGGAGACCGAAGGACTCAGAGAAAACCCACGAGGTTGGATTGGCGACCCTACTCCTTGTTACTTACAACCGGGGAATCGAAACCATGCCAGTTGACTCAATGACAGACCTTATGATACGAACGGTGGGAGCTAATCGTACAAGCGGGGAATCAAAACCACGCCACTTGAATGATAGACCTTATGATGCAATGCACATACGTTAACCATTTGGCCACCCAATCCCCCAATTTTGAGGGGATGTTGAACCCCATTTTCCTCTCTGTATAGAGACTAAGGTTATCAGATCAGATTTTCGAGAGGTTTTTTATCTTTTTCTTCAGCTAATGTTAACCATGCCATATTCTAGAAAACTGGAACAAGAAGCAGATAAAGTGGGATTAAGATTAGCAGCAAAGGTATACAATTATAGTACTCAATTTCAACATCAGTAAAACTAGGGCTTTCACTTACCAGACTCTCACAGTTTGTTCATCTTAGATCATCCTAACCTATAAATATATTTTTAAAGGAGGCACATGAATTGTGTGCCAGAAGGCTTTCGAGTGCCATTTGTAATGAACGAGGCTAAACATATATCACATGAGAGTACTACCGGTGTAGACTGTAATAACCAGACGCCAAAGACTACCATTCAATTTGGAGTTGGACACCGCATATTTTGCCGAAATAACTGGTTAGAAGTTACTGTAAAAACATGTGATGTTACCGTAAACAAAACATCTAACTGTGTTTCAATTAAGGGACTAAACTGTCAATATTGATACCAATAAAGTTTTTGTATTCAACATACATAAACAATTATTACATAAAATCGATTAATACATAATTAATAGCAAGAATTATAACTGTATTTATTCTGTTTTAAGGTTAAATTCTCTGAAATTCTATTTTCATGGCATGTAAATGGCAGCTAGTTTTATTACCAGTCAGCAAGACAGACAAAATATGACGGAATCCAACACTTTAATAGAAATATGGTCATTGGGTAGACAGTTGCAAGGATCAAAGTTTTTGACTTTTTCTCCTAGGACACTGCATGGAATATGCCCATCTTCACTAGCCCACTTGGTGCTGATAGGACTTAAAACCCCATTTCATTTCATAACTTGAATTTAGTTTTAGTCCTTTCGGGTTTTTTGTAGGCATGTTTTGATGTAAGAGAAGGTTCTGTATTCTGGACTAAAATGAAACTAGCAGAAACTGGTGAACAGACGAGTATGCCTGAATGGTTGTCAACACATCCTTTAAGTGATAAACGTATTGAACATTTAAACTTTCTCATGGCAGATGTAAGTAGATAGATCTGTTTGATATATCTTTATTAATACTAATAATAATCAGTTCTTATATTGCGCACGATTCCATCGCAGTTTATACACAAGGTGCATTTAGCTCTCCAAGTATGACAAGAAAAAAATAACAATGTTAAAGATACATTATGTAAGATTTAGATGTTGTGTTTCGTTGATTTCTATTCCTACCCATCATCTTACTCTTAATTATAATCTCATCTCATAATTCAGTAAAATTAATTTTTTTTTCCAACAGGCTATAGCATTACGAGAGGAAGCCAAATGTCCAAGACTAAAGTCAAATGACCCTCGCGAGACAATCAAAGTAATGTCCAAGATGGTGGATGATTTCAACTTGGCTCGTAAAACCCGCCAGAATCTTCGTCAAGTTCATCATGCTCAGCCTCAGGATCGTGCTATATGAGCCAACAATATAGTTATATAAAAATGAAGAGTTAGATAAGGCCATATAAAAAAATATATATTCTGGTTATCTTACAATCCATGTTACCTCTGCGTCTGGGGATAGGTTTATTGCTTATCCTCTCTAAAGTAAACTCAACTTCGGTATCCCCAGTGGTTCTACTCCACTAACCCCTGGGTCCATTCTCAGAGTTTTCACAAATTCAGATTATCTGCTCATGATGATTTCACTGGTCATGTAGGTTGATTCTACGAACCAATCAAAAACAGTTTAAATATCAGTCTTAGCATCATTGTTTACATTCACCACTATGGGGATGTTTGATTGTCAGTCCGGAAGGTCCAGAATTGACAGAATTACAATCGAGTGACATTGAATTCAGTCTTGTCACAGTTCTGTCAGTCACAACAAATATGCAGTCATTGACTGTGTTGTTGCCAGAAATCACCCTTTTCACTCGATTGTCAATATTTTGGGGATTGACAGAATTCAATTCCGCAACGTTCAAACGAGCATCCCCAATATGTCTCCCCTGTGAATGTACCCAGGAGTTATTGGAGTAGAACCGAACGATACCACTGGGGATACCGAGGATGAAGTAACCAGTGCTTTTGTTAAAAGGTTTTCATCACATGACTGGTCACTATTGAGAAAGAGAGGGACATTAGGTTTTAATGTCCACTCGACACAAACTTGGTCAATTCGGGATTAACACATGGTTAATTTTATTAAAATAATTCGCTTGTGCGTAGGGGTCTTTAGCATTGTAAGGAAACCAGAGGACCCGGAGAAAACCCACAAGGTTGGACAGGTGACCCTACTCCTTGTCACGTACAACCGGGGAATTGAAACAACGCCAGTTGACACAATAACAGACCTTATGATACAGCGCGCACACTGGATAATCCAATGTTACATTAACCTCATGGTGACAAATCAAACAATCAATTCTATGGTGATTTAATGTAAAATATGTATTACATGTTGTTTTACAGTCATGCTGAATAATTTCCCAGTATATGTTTATATAGACAAATGTTTGGACTGATTTAGAATTTTATCAAATTAATTGAAATCAAAATGTAGGGAACTATATTTTTATCTTGTCTCTAAAATTCATACATGTACTTTTAGCTTGATGTGATATTTTATAAAAAGGACATTTTTTTTTTTCAATTATTGTGAATCAAGGATTATTTTGAAGCAGATTTTGAAGGTGCAATCTGATTTAAATACAGATCTATATTTCGTTTCGTTTTTTTATACTTTCGATGGCCTACACTACATAAAGATCTGACAAGTTATAGTGGGAGTTCACGTCAGGGGTCATACGCGCGGCTTTTGACCCTATGATGTCAGACATTTGATTAACCAATCAGCATTGATGTTACTAGTGGATTACCCACAGTTCCATGCAAAACACTCCTAAAGCTCCCTGTAACAGACCGTTTCAATGGCTAATTCCTCACACCATTCAGAACAGGTCAATGATAACAAATCTTTCAGATCCCAGTGTAGTAAAGACAAGTAAAACTAAATTTTGAACTATAAAAACGAAACGAAATAGGATCTGTGTTTTAATCAGATTGTTGAAGGTGCTCATGGTAAAAATAAATATTTTATCTTTGTTAATGTCTGTAAAAAAAGGTTGTTGTTCAATGTTATGGGTAATGGTAATTAACTTGCAAAAAATGAGAAATTAATTGTAATGATTTAACGGTAATCGTAATGTAATTAATATCATTTACAATGTAATGACCACAGGCTTGTTTGATTTTACACCCTAATTCACAGATTATAGCAAGATGTTATTTGATTTATTACAATGATTTTTAATGTGAATTCGAGTTAAGAGTCATATTACAGTGTGGATGACTGAGCTGATAGTATGAGCTTATGTTAATTGCCAATCTCAATTTATCATCATAATAATGCATTTGATATATAATTACAGCATTTATTACAGTGTGGTTGACATGAGTTTATGTTAATTGTCAATCTGAATTTATCTTCATAATAATGTATTTGATATATTACAGCATTTATTACAGTGTGGTTGACATGAGTTTATGTTAAATGTCAATCTGAATTTATCTTCATAATAATGTATTTGATATATAATTCATAAGTGCCATTTATATTGAGCATGAACACATGGTTGGCGATGATTTGGTTTAAGCAGTATTTATTTTAAAAAATTGTACAATTTAAAGGCAAATAAAAGAGGATACCAAAAAAACAAGCTAAGTAGGCTTATATTAATTTGCGATAATTTCATGTATACCCTGTTGGATGAAACATGTACTAAATAACGTGAAAGTATTATTAGCGATAATTTCATGTGTAAAATGTATTTGGTTGGATGAAATAATGTAATAATTTGTGATATTTAGAAATAAAGAGTGATAATTTATTATTTTCAATATATATGTTGTAGTTTTATTTTTGTGTGCACCCAGAAGCTGTTTTTATTGTTCTTGATCGGACGAAAAAATGAGGTCCTGTGTACACATTGGCGTGAACGTAAAAGATATCTTGACAGTTGGAATTCGATATAAGAGTAGGCCATAGTGCCGCTGTCTGGGCAAAATTTCCCTCATAGCACACTGTATGTTGATGCCTGTCTTCATTAGCCCAGTTCGGAGCAGAACAGTAGGACGTTAAACCACATTTCATTTTGTATCCTGGTGGAATGATAAATGGGAGCTGCAGTGGTTGTATGTTTAGTATAATAGGACTGCACCAAGAGGTCATTGGCTGACTATGGCAACAGAATAATTTACTTGTCCATCTCTTTGGTGAATTCAATGCTTAATGTCAAGAGGGGGAGAGAAATGGGGCTTAACATCCAATCAACACAAACCAGATCATTTCGGGATTAACACATGGTTCAATTTTATTTCACTTGCACGTAGCTGTCTTTCGCGGTGGTGGGAAACTGGAGAGCCTGGAGAAAACCCACAGACGACCCCACTCCTTTTCACGTACAAGCAGGGAATCGAAACAACGCCACTAGACTCAATGACAGACCTTCTGATCCAACCCACACGTTAACCATTTGGCTGCCCCTGCACCCCCTTAATGTCAAGAGATCAGAAGAATACCAATTTCAGGTCTTTAAACCTATCTATTTATTAATAATTTAATCATCCATTGACGTAGAAATAAACAAGTAAAACAACTTTGTTGTAATTATAAGAAACACAATAAAATATTCTTATAGGCACAACATGTTAGACTGTTGTCCAATGTCTCAACTTATTAAAAACAAATAATTCATAAGAATGATTTAAAAAAACATCATGAAAAATAAAATAGCTGAAACTTTACCAATGATAATTCACACAAATTTAGTCAACCAATAAAGCTTATAATATAGCACTGACGCAAAATCACCATAATTGGTTAAAATCAATTAAAAGATTAAAATATAATAAAGAACTCCTTTCCAAAGTACTGTATAAATCTGTTTTCAAGGTATTTCCTCCAGCAGAATTACGTCAACTGTTCACCCCCCACCCCCTAAATTATATGTATCATGCCTCAAGCACAACCCCCATGGATGTAGTGCATTATGAAAAAATACACATTATATATTTAAGCCCACTAAAACTACTTAAAGTGGCTTTAGTAATTGAACAGTAACACACAAACACTATTTATGGAATAACAATTACTGGTTTATTAACGTGAGTGATACTCTCGTCTTTATCAAGCAAACGATGACTAAAATTAAACAAGTTGAAGTCACTGAGAGTGATTTGACTTTTTCAGACCAGTATATTTCACAGCTTAAATTCATGCTAAAATGTACACAACTTCATTACTTAACATTTAATTGAGAAAATAAAATATCAATGGTCGATAATCTACCGAATTCAAAGGAATTAAAATGAGGCCCATCAAAAGATAGCACTAAACTCTTGTAGGTGGTGCTGGCATATTTGCAAAGTATGTCAAATGTTGTGAAAATGACAATTCATTATTTATTCTGATATTCAAATGACAATCAGTGGCTTTAAATATATATTACAGAGAGCATCAAACGACTGATCAAGCGGTTGCCATGCAAGATACGCTTCCATTTTGCAAGAAATGGACAAGCTAAAAACGAAAGCGATTTTACATATAATCTGGGGCCATAATCCAGGATGCTAATGTCTGACATGCATCAATACTGAAAAGAACCGAGATCTTTGGGATACAAACATATGTGCTAAGTTTCATCAAAATCGGATAAAAATTGAGACCTCTAGGGGATCCACAACCTTTATAATACATGCTTATTATACTAATTGCTTAAAGAAGAGTGGCCATTTTGTCAGACAGCCTGTGACCTCTAGAGGGACCATAAGCTAAAAACACGATTTTTCGTATGATCAGGGGCCATAATCCAGGAAGTTACAGTCCGATATGCGCCAATATTGGATGGAACTGAGATCTTTGGGTTATAATCAAACATTTTAAGTTTCACCAAAATTGGATAAAAATTGTGACCTGTAGTGGGTCCATAAGCTAAAAACACGATTTTTCGGACAATCAGGAGCCATAATTAAGGAAGTTATGGTCCGATATGCACCAATATTGATAAGAACCGAAATCTTCAGGTTATAAACATACATATTAAGTTTTCATCAAAATCAGATAAGGGGCAATGACAATATACCTCCTGTGGGTGTACAAAAATGTTTTTCTTGAAGTATCTCAAGATATGAATTATTGGTAACAAAATGTATTTATCCTGGCAGGTTTTATATGTTTTCCAATCCATGGTTGCAATCCATGAAATATAGCTTTAAAGCTTAATTATTTATGCCCACATTCAAGAGGCCTTATCATTTTCACCAAGAAAATAAGTTACTTGAACAGTTTGATGAATATGAAAATGTTCATTTTAAAAAGTCATCAATTAAATCATTTAAACTGATATTTAAATTCTGTGACACTGACGGATTCACTGGCTTTTTCATCATAATCGTACCATTCCTGAAAAGTAAAAGTTATCTCTTATTATTCCATATAAATCCATATAGATATAAAGCGATAATAATAATAATGATCAATTTGTATAGCGCTGAGTGCTCCAGTTAACAGCTGCTCCACAACGCTCTAATAATAAAAACTTTTATGCCATTACAAACTAACATATTATTTACTTACATTTTCTGTCAATTCCAATTCAAATGTAGCATTAGATTTTTCTCCTTCAGCTTTTACTTTCCAACCATCCTGTCATAGAATATATACAGAATTAAATATTGTAAAACAAAAAATTAATTTGCTCTAAACTCACTGCATTTGTCCTAAACTAATTTCGTTCTAAATTAAGGCCAAATAAAAGAAATATCCTGATTCTCAGACACTCCAGCATCACTTAAAAAGAAGCGCATGACCTTTTTTAATATTTTCAAAAAAAATAAATAAAAACGGTGTCATTAATTACCACCTGTAGGAGTTTTCTCCGGGTTACAGGAAGTAACTCTATAAAAAGATGAATTTGGAAATATACTGTTCAATTTTATTTCAATAATTCGCTTGAGCGTAGGGGGTCTTTAGCAGTGGGAGGAAACTGGAGGAACCGGAGAAAACCCACGAGGTTTGCCAGGTGTCCCTACTCCTTGTCACGTACAGCCAGGACAACGAAACCATGCCAGTTGACTCAATGACAGACCTAATAATACAACGCACACGCGCTAACCATTCAACCACCTAACCCCCGACAGCATGTCAGTCATTCTGAGACTAACAAATTGTTATACTTTCGATAGTCAATACTGGGGAAGAGAATTTTGCTTGGACAGTGGCGTTTTCATCTATACTTCAATGAATTCCAACGGCCAATTATATGTAATCATGTATAAAAACTTAAAAATAAACACAACAGTTCTATGGATAACAATTACTGTATTTCTATTAAAGCTACATTTCAACAATGATTCTCTTGTCGTTATCAAACACAATACTGATACAGACAGAGGGTACGGAATATATATACTATGTACAATCCAAACATTCAATGAAACCATTTAATTAGGAGGACAGTGACCCTTTGATAATAATAATAAAACCATATGCAATAATATCTAATCGTAATGTATACATAGATAAAAACCACTTAATAAAAACTTACGTTCGGTTTAAATTCTATAGGCTGCACTCCACGACAATCAAATGTTACGATTGTTTTAAATTTTCCTGAATCTTCTGACATATAACTTGATAAAGAATCTTTAATGATATCTGTAAATATAGGAGAGAATAAGACAATAATTAAAGGTGTATCTATGAATTTCTAAAGATTAAGATACAACATTTGGACACATGTTACCCAAAACAGTTCTTATTGGCATAGAGATACACAGCTCAGACAGAAATGTGCATATTATTTGGGAGATTTTAAAAATGCAAAAAAAGTGAATTTGACTAATTTTCCGAGATACACCCTTTCGACACTTCACCGACGATATGCCATGTAGTGTGCTATGAGGGACATTTTTTTTGGACAGTGGCACTACGACCTACTCTTATTTCCAATTCCAAATGTCAAGGGTTATTTTACATGCACGCCAATGTGTACACAGGACCTCAGTTTTTCATCCATGCAGAAAACTAGACACTGCTCCTTGTCAGGCCCTCTCTGTCCTCCTCCACTGACAAGGGGAAATGAAATGAAATGAAATGGGGTTTAACATCCTACTGTTCTGCTCCGAGCTGGGCTAATGAAGACGGGCATACGCCATACAGTGTGCTATAAGGGAAATTTTGCTCGGACAGCGGCACTACGGCCTACCCTTTTATCGAATTTCAACTGTCAAGGGATCTTTTGTGTGCACGCCAATGTGTACACAAGACCTCAGTTTTTCGTCCCATCCGAAGGACAGCTGCCCTTGTCAGGCCCTCCGTCTTGCATCACTGACAAGGGGGGAACCACGCGGGAAAATCTTGATGAACTTTCTCGGCCAATGCAGGGATCGAACACCCGACCTCCAGGCTAGCCAGCCAGCGTCTTACCCACTTAGCCACTGTTACCCCCCTGGAAAATCCTGAGGAACTTTCTTGACCAACATGGCCCCCACCAGAGCAAATTACTGGGTTAATTTTTTGGATCAGTAATCATAATGACAAACCTATTGAGTTTTCTCGTTTACATAATTTACACTTTATAACTAAACTGGCCGACCCTCTTCCTCCAGAAACTTCACTACTTTCCTGAAAAAAAATAAAATACATAAACTATAAACAGGGTGAGTAAACAGTGTGATTGTCTTTGTAGATAGTTTTACAGGCTTTAAAACTTTTGATTAAAAGGCTGTCCAACTTTCCTGAATTTAGAGACCACCAAAAGTTAATAGATTAATAGGTCACTCAAGCTCTCAACAGGTCACCTAAATGAATGTGATCAACAGATCAAAATGAAATGAAATGGGGTTTAACGTCCCCCTGTTCTGCTCCGGCACTACGGCGTACTCTTATATCGAATTCCAACTGTCAAGGGATCTTTTATGTGCACGCCAATGTGTACACGGGACCTCGGTTTTTAGTCCCATCCAAACGACTAGACAGCTGTCCTTGTCAGGCCCTCCGTCCTGCATCACTGACAAGGCAGAACCACGCCGGAAAATCTGGATGAACTTTCTCGGCCAATGCAGGGATCAAAGATCAACAGATCACCCAAACGAACTGGATCAATAGTTCACCCACACTCTCTTGATCAACAGGTCAGCCACAATCCCTAGTTCAATATTTACAGAAAGAGAGAGATGAACTCGAGGTTTATTGTCCACTTGACACAAACAAGGACATTTTGAGACTAACATATGGTAAATGATAAAAGAAATTTACTTACTGACAAACAACAGAACACAAAGTCTGGAGTTTCTTCATTACAGTTCATACATTGTAACTGAAAATATAAATATAATAATTCATACATATTAGATTAACTGAAAATATAAATATAATTTATTTATTGTAACTGTAAATATAATAATAATTCATACATAGTAGATTAACTGAAAACATAAATATAATTCATTTATTGTCACTGAAAACATAAATATAATTCATACATTGTAACTGAAAATATAAATATAATTCATACATTGTAAATGAAAATATAAATATAATAATTCATACATTGTAGATTAACTGAAAACATAATAATTATTCATACATTGTAAATGAAAGTATGATAATAATTCATACAAAATTTCCCTCATCAGAGAATACGTATGACACTGTTGAAAAGTAAGACGTTAATAATAAACCCCACTTCATTCACAAAATCTTTTGGGGATGTCCTTTATTAAAAATGAACATTTTACACTATTTTGAGGCTTAATAAAGTAAAATTTAGTAAAATCAAAATTAGGATGGACATTTCAAGCAGAATAAAAAGAGGAATCTTTGAATTGAAATACATGTAGGCCTACTTTATTAAGTATGATGACTGGCTGTTGTGGTGAGTGATGTTTCTTGTCAGCGAATTAGTCTTCTGTTTGGTTGCCAGGACTTGTGGTGTGGTTCTCGGACCCTTACAGAATTAGATATTCTTAAGAAAAGATATTTTGATTTTCTTTCTACTCTGTTTTTCAGTGGTAGGCCTACGTCTGTAATTTGGGTTCCTGTAAATGGTATAAGCTTGCCGTTTTCGGCACGGTACCAGGCCGCGACAAATTTCAAGAAATTGACCCATTTACATTACTCTGTAATAACCAGTCTAAGAAACGGGCCAGGCACACCAAATGTGGAACTCACCACAGAAAAGTTAATTTCAGTCCCTATGCAAATTGCCGAATGAAAACAATTATGGCACTTTATTTAGTTTGGGCAGCCATTTTGACAGAACTGATGAAAGAACTGTCAAAGTTCGCGGGGAAAAAAGGTCAAGGTTCATTTGGCGCATGCACAGTAATCCTTACTGAGAACCGCTCTCAGACCGAATAGTGTTCACACTACCAAAAGTTAACTGTGTCGTGCCAGGCAACATGCCGAGACCACTTTATTTCAGTGGGCCAAATTGGCACGGTACTTACTACGCCATGCTTATGTTTGATCTGTTTAAAAAATTTAACCCTGCTGTACCTGGTACTGTGCCTGGCACGCTTAAAATTTGTAATGTAAACAGGGTTTTACCTATATCTAATAATAATAGTAAATACATCAACTAAAGAAAAAGGTTTAGCATATAGCTATATCTATTAATAATACCAAGTTAGATTTTTTAAAATTGTAAAAAAAAAAAATACCTCGACCTCCCTTATTTGAATGATGAATGACAAGCGAATAATGAGTGACAAGGAATTTCTAAGCAATAACTGTTCCAGTTTGGCCAACATAATTCAATTTCAATGGGTTTGATAAATATCAACTTAATTAATTTTTATTTATTAGTGGTGACCCCAAGGTCATTGTCATTTGTCTGGTGAATCTGTCATTCAATTTGTCATTCGTTTGCTGAACCTGTGTCATTCTCTGTCACTCATTTTGTCATGTCTATCTGGTGGATTCAGTTCATTCACTTTGTCATTCATGAGGGAATCTGTGTCATTCCCTTTGCCATTGGTCTGGTGAACCTGTGTCATTCACTTTGTCATTTGTCCGTCCAGTGAATTCTTTCATTCAAGCCATGGTGAACCTGTGTCATTCTCTTTGTCATTCAACCGTGGAATCTGTGTCATTCACTTTGTCATTCATCTACTGAACCTGTGTCATTCTCTGCATCACTCACTTTGTCATTCATTCATCTGGTGAATTCTGTCATTTGTCTTATTCTCTGTCATTTATCTGATCTGGTTAAGCTCTTACATTCGTCTGGTGAACCTCTGTCATTCTCTCATTCATCTGGTGGAGCTGTGTCATTCTCTTTGTCATTCATCTGGTGGAGCTGTGTCATTCTCTTTGTCATTCATCTGGTGAAGCTGTGTCATTCTCTTTGTCATTTGTCTGGTGAATCTGTGTCATTCTCTGTCATGGTTATCCTGTCATTCATTTTGTCATTCATCTGATGAACCTCTGTCATGAATGACACGGGTTCAACAAACGAATGACAAAGCGAATGACAGAGATTTGCAGGACAAATTGAATGACAGGGGTCACCAGACAAATGACAGAGAATAACACAGATTCACCAGATGAATGAGAGAATGACAGAGGTTCACCAGACGAATGACAAACAGAATGATAGGGGTTCATTAGACAATTGACAAAGTGAATGATAGAGATTCACTAGAAGAATGACACAGGTTCGTATGACGAATGACAGACAGAATGTCTGAAATCATAGATGAATGCCGTCGAAAGACAGGTTCACCAGACGAATGACAGATGTTAACCAAATGAATGACTAAGAGGCACTGGTTCAATAATTAATGACATGGGTTCATCAAACAAATGACAAAGTGAATGACGGACCAGTCTAATGACAAAGTGAATGACAGATGTTTTCCAGTTGAATAACTGGTCTGTAACTTTTTTTGCCAAACGCCGATTTTGTTCCTGAAGTTGAAATCAAAAGTAAGAATCATTTGTTTCGAATTTTTTTTCCCAGCTTATGTAAATCTGAAGTTCTCCTACAGGCCTAATATTCTTTGTATGAGAAGAGGTGTGATAATAGAGAAGAGCAGCTAAAAACATTGAGACAAACAAACCACCAAAGTGTGCACATTGATTCACCGTGTCGAGTTCAACTCGTAGGGAAAATTTTCGCTGCATGGCCATGGGGCACACTATCCACTGAAGTAAAAAAAAGAAAACTTTAATCAATATTTATTAAACTCAATACTATAATTGAATTATGTTGGCCTAAAGGGAGCAGTTATTGCTAAGAAATTCCTTGTCATTCGTCATTATTCAGATTAGGGAAGTCCGGAATACCTTCATACACCATCCAAAATCTTCTTGATCAGCGGGCTGCAGCTCTGTGACATTCTCCAACTGGGCGTTGATCTGGAGGGATATTTTCTGAAATAAAGATAGGATTATGTATTAATAAAGTTAATCTCCAAATATCCAAGACTTGTTAATAAACTCATAAAAACATGGAAATTGTAAACGTGTTTAGTAAACATACCACCATCTTGAGAAGGGAAGTAACCCATACTAATCATTCTACTCGATTATCAAGACCCACCGGGGTAGAATGATATTCCAGACTGAGTGAAATAATAGTATGCATTCGAAATGAAATGGGCTTAAAGGGACAATAACACTCTTGCTGGCTTGGCAGCTCCAGCAAATAAATAATAGCCTTATTCTAAGTATTAGATGTTGTGTAAATTATCCATTACATCCTATTTTACTTGTCCAGAGGGTTCGAAAATATTTTTAAATCCAAGTCACATTTGAAAAGGTTTACGTTAGGCTTTTCAAATCATTTAGTTGAATTTTTCCAATTTTTTAAATTAGGTGTGTTAACATGAAATTTGTATCATCAATTAATTGGAATATTCTAAAATAGTACAATTTGTTGACCAGAATAAAGATTGGGACATATATTATTCAGTTGCGACAAAAGTGGTATTGAGCCTTTAAAAAGGCTGCAATTATTCCCGTTCCAATGTTCGGCCAATATATAGTTGCCCTGGTGTCAGTGGCCTAGCTGCTCTATGAGTTCATACCGATGCGTAAAAATACCTAATATTTCCGACAAGAGATGTAAGAAAACATAAACCGGGCGGAGCGAGTCAAATAAATTTATTCTAGTTGTCTTTAGAAGCCTAATAAAATACAAATATACTTTAACCGTTTTTATATGATAAATGATATGCTGAATGCCCCATCTGGGATGAAAATTTTATGTAATAGATATGCATATCAGGTTCAAAATGTGATCTGCGGTAGAAAGTAGAAAATAAAAAGCAAAAGAGAAAATTCTTATCCAAAATGGACATTTTCGTGGTGCTTTTCAACCTAATACGTCCACCTTTTCAACTTTAAGTCGTAAATATTCTACTTTCAACAACAGAATTTCTACTTTCAACAACAGAATTTTTATTTTCAATAATCAACTTTTGACATTCGACTTTCAACTTCAGATTTTCTACTCAAGATTTTCTGCTCGAGATTTTCTCCATGCATATTGATTGTTCAGTCATCAGTCATTTAAAGGAGTTAAATCGCTAACATTTGGGACCTAGAAATTGACACAAGTGGGTCGCAACTCGTATAATACTGTAATCTGAATGTATATAAACTGATATACATTTAATGGTTTCCGTTTTTACTCTAATTTCAAATCAGTTATGTTCCGCGAAATAAGCCAGCAGTCTCAATCGAATGCAAATTTCTAGCGCCTGGTCATTTCAGTCTACATACGCCGTTTGGTTTGGTGCAATATGTCCTCAAGTCTCTTGCTAGAACTGGGGCTGAAACGCATTATGGTACACGATTCGTGTACCAATGGTAAAATGTTTATTTTGTCTTAAATATTGGATATCAGAAGCCCATCGTTTTCCGGTAAGATCACAGCATCAATGTTGATTTAAATTGACAAATAATTTGTGTTTTCAATGTTGAACATTTTGGATGATATTGAGTTACGGTCAATACGATCGACCATGACTTCGTGTTGCATACTCTAGAAATGCGGATAGGAATAATTGATGATGCCCTCTTATTGATGAAATCGTATCTCTCTGGCCGCTTCCAATCGGTGGTGATTAATGGCGCTAGGTCATCAAAGTCTGAATTGAGTTTTGGAGTTCCACAAGGATCCGTCCTAGGTCCCATCCTGTTTACTATATACACTCTACCCGTAGGAGATATAGCTAGATCACATGGCGTTTCTTTCCACCTCTACGCAGATGATACCCAACTGTATATGGGTTTCCGTCCACTCAACGCAAACAACCAAAATGTTTTCAATTCACTTTCAAGGTGTATTGAAGATATTAAGTGCTGGATGACCAGTCATCTCTTGAAACTCAATGAAGACAAGACTGAATTTATAATAATATGTCTAAAATCATCACGTGCAAAATTAGAACAGTTTCAACTAACTGTATGTGACTCAACAATCTATCCCAACACAAGCGCGCGAAACCTTGGTGTTGTATTTGACTCACAATTTAATTTAGAAACACACGTGAGTAATGTTTGCAGAACTGCTTACTTTCAAATACGAAATATCCGCCAAATTAGGAAATACATCGATAAGTACTCAACGAAACGTCTTATTCAGGCATTTGTGATCTCTAGATTGGACTACTGTAATAATAGTCTCCTTTACTGTGTAAATCTCCAACAGCTTGATCGCCTGCAGCGTGTACAGAACACTGCCGCCAGACTTATCACTCACACAAATATCCGTGAACATATTACTCCCATTCTTAAAGGACAATATTGGTGTCAGTCATTATCACATATGTAATAGAACTGGTTAAACACGTTCCAAATATTATTTTATCACAGAGATCGTTGCTACGATAGATGAGTAATCAATGTTTCAACAATAGGAAGTGACGAACTCAAAAGGAAAACGCGAGTTATCCGTCTATATAACTGGCTGAAGTGACGGGTGATAATAGATACATGGGCGAATTTCTGCTCACTAAAAATTCCTTCGGAGACCAAAAGTTGTTATATGAGACTGAAAGAGTATGTCTGACAATTCAAACAAGTAATTGAATGTCATTAGAGAAAAATAGAAACAGTCCGTACATTCACGGGTGTTTATTCATTCTATACTTATAAAAACATGGTAATGCACGGACTTTTTCTATATTTCTTTCATGTTCTCTTATCTAGTGACAGTCAACTTTGTTTATAAATTGTCAGATATCCTTTCACAGTCCCATACAACAACTTTTGGTCTTCGACGGAATTATTAGTGAGCAGAAATTCGCCCATGTATCTGTTATCACCCGTCACTTCAGTCAGTTATAATAGAGGGATAACTCGATCGTGTTTTCCTTTTGCGTTCGTCTCTTCATATTGTTGAAACATTGATTACTCATCTATCGTAGCAATGATCTCTGTGATAAAATAATATTTGGAACGTGTTTAACCAGTTCTATCACATATGTGATAATGACTGGCATCAATATTGCCCTTTAAGAGCTTACATTGGCTTCCAATTCGTACTCGTATAAATTTCAAGTTATTAACTTTTGTTTTCAAAGCAATCCACAATCTCGGTCCAGTTTACTTTCAAGATCTGTTCTCCTTTTATCAACCATCGCGTGCTTTAAGATCAGCCGAGCAACTACAGTTGGTAGTGCCATCAAAATCAAGAACCAAATATGGAGATCGTGCTTTTCTGCGATGTGGTGTAGTTTTATGGAACAGACTTCCCATACACATCAAAAGATCTGAAACATTGAACATTTTTAAATCACAGCTGAAGACATTAGTATTCAAGCAAATATATGACTAGCGCTCTTGAGCAGTTTACTGGAAAGAATTGCGCTCTACAAATTCATAATTTAATTTATTATATTATTATTATTAAAATTCTTTTTTTACATAACCAAGCGAATATTCACAGCGGATCCGTTAATTGCCATTCATGTATAACTAAAGGAATTCCTTGTATTGTATATTGTTCAAATAAGTACGAATTATATGCTGATAGTATTTGTCTGTTCAACATCGTTAAAGTCTCTGAATGTCGTTTAAATGAAATGAAATGGGGTTTAACGTCCTACTGTTCTCCTGCTTCCACTGGGCTAATGAAATGAAGATGGACATACGCCAGAGGGAAATTTTGCCCGGGCACCGGCGCTATAACGGCCCACTAATATATCAAATTCCAACTGCCAATGTATCTTTAACGTCAAGTCAATGTGTGCACGGGATCTCGGTTTTTCGTACCATCCGAACGACTAGACAGCTGTCCTTGTCAGGCCCCCCGTCCTGCACCACTAACAAGGGGAAACCACGCTGAAAAATCCCGATGAACTTTTTCGGTCAACACCGGGATCGTACCCGCGTCTTACCCACTTAGCCACCGTGGGTCCGAACGTCGTTTAAGGGACTGAGGAATCCTTTGCCAAATACAACTTTCTGAAGTTGAATCTTTAAAATGAATTTAAATCTAAAAATGGTTCAGTTCCGTTCAGTATTTACAAATATATGGTGAACTGAAAATTTGTAAACTTTCGGCAACTGCCACAAACAATATACGACACCTGTAATCTTCGATAAAATCCTTTGATGGGCCTCTTTTTAATCCGATTACATTCAAGCATGGAAATGATCTACCGTTGATATTTTGATATTTTCCGAAAAATGCAAATGACGGACAAAGCATTAATAGTTTGCGCTATAAGATGTTTTATTGGCCCGTGGAAGATATTTTATTGACCTGTTTCGTTTTTGAAGTTTGTTTATTTATTAAGTGTATTTTCCATTTTCGGCTTAAACCGACAACTCTTCAACTGTTAGTTTTATCCTGGGACGTAGAAGTTTTAACGAATACAGATTGTCATCGCATTAAACCCATCAACACATTAAGTTGATTTATATATACTTTATGTAAGAGCAACACCTCGCTATTGCAAGTCTTTACTGTTGGCTTGAATATCAGACATTTGACATTAATTATTCACATGGCAAGTCCATACTCAACCCTCTAGACATCGGATAGGCGTGATTGAAACATTCATAACTTCGCTCAGAATAAAGTAATTTGACTGAAATTTTTTCGATATTCCTTTCTCATATCTATTTTTAAACTATATCTGAATCTTACATGATATTATTTTTATCCATGTGAAAGAATATGTTTGTATTGGGGCGGGGATGATTTATTTCAAATTTAATGATTTACAACTACCTCTATACATTTACGTCATCAGAAAACATATCAGACTTTATAAAATACAATAAATGTTCATTTATATGTTTTACATCCCATTTAGTCAACTGATATCTTTTATTAAATGGTTTACTGTCAAATAAACACACGACTGAGTTCATTGGGTGAACACTTGTTATCTTTTGAGGATACTGGCTACCTCTTAATAGAATAGCTTTTCATTTTCGTTCAGACGAAATGATACCGTATCTCTTGTTAAATCACGTTTAAAACCCATTTAGGTACATTGGCCCATAATGTACGACATCTTTATATATTTTAGCATTGTTTGACTTCTTTAATATTGTAATGTTTTACTACTACTTATATTACTACTATTATTATACTTAAAAACTACTACTACTATTATTGTACTTAAATACTACCACTACTACTACTATTATTATACTTAACTACTACTACTACTATTATTATACTTAACTATTACCACTACTACTACTACTATTATTATACTTAACTACTACTACTATTATTATACTTAACTACTACCACTACTACTACTATTATTATACTTAACTACTACTACTATTATTATACTTAACTACTACCACTACTACTACTATTATTATACTACTACTACTATTGACTAAAAAATTTGCGCAAAGGAACTCTGTAGGAAGAGACACTACTGTGGCTGGAGTAAGGCGGAAAACATCAGTAGTGGAACCATTTCTATGATTCAGTAAGATAAGATAAGATAAGATTTTATTGTATCAAGACATCCATTAAGGACAGCATACAATATGAACATGTATATAAAGATATAGTATAACAGATAATAGATATATACATGTATTTACAAACAAGACAAATGATAATTTTACATAATAACACATTTACTAACAGGAAAAACAGTATGATAATCATCTCAGAATACATATTTACCACAAACTGGTCTGATAATGACACGACTTTCAACACATGCATGATGGATGTGTATAAATATAATAAATACATAAATAACAGAAAGACTTAGTATAGGTTTTGACATGGAAATATGATATAGGAATGCTAGAAGCATTACATGAATCGATTAATAAAACGTGGAATAAAATATATCAATACATGGAAATCTAGATAATAATTTTGATACAGAAAGGTATATGTAGTGATACATGTACATGTAGCGCTACACAATTTATGTTCTTAGATTCATTGCATGAAATACAAAAGCACTAACTGATTTTGAAACTGTTTTTGGTGGGTTAAATAGATTTTCTAGAGAATAGGGTAGATAATTATCCGTAAATGTTGGGTATATGTAAACGGTACGTAAATTTTCATACAATGGACATTCTAGTAAAAAATGTGCTTCATCTTCAGTTTTGTGCATAGAGCATTGTTGGCATATTCTTAGATCTGGGGGGACATTTTTGTATCTGCCCATTTCAATTTGGAGTGAGTGTGAACTAAGTCGGAGTGCGGTCATGGCTATTCAGCAGGTTTATAGATTTCTGTTTTAAATAAACTGTAGGTCCTAAGTTTTGAAGCTTTAAATGGACTGGAGTGGCATGATTCGGTGAAAAGGGAGTTGAATTTGGATTGAAGTGATGATTTGATATTAACTTTAGTGAGGTTTGACGGATTTATATTGAAATAATTTATTAAGTGTGTTATTATAGAGGCAGTCCATGAGAGTTTAATATTAGACTTAGCTATTTTAATATCATCATTATAGGCTTCAGCTAGTAACGGATTTGAATCCTTCATGTCAGGATGGTTTAATCTTTTATAATAGAGTAGCATTCTATGGTATTATGATGAAAGTAAAAGAAATATGGGGGGGGGGGGCAGAGATCAAGTATTGATAATGATAATGTGCATTTATATAGCGCTTAATCCATCCATGAGCATGCTCTAAGCGCTGTAAGTTAATAGCTTCTGTGGATAATACATCGTGAACATATGCGTCTTAAGTCTAAATCGAAATTGAGCAACACTTTATTTTGTCAGGTAAGTCATTCCATAGTCGTGGACCATATACACTGAAGGCTTTATCACCAAAAGATTTTAGTTTAGTTGAAGGTACAACAAGTGATATATTATTCTGTGAACGGAGTGGTCGGTTTGGTACATAAGGCTGCATAAGATCTGTGATATAGGATGGAGCTGAATCATGCTGAGACTTGTAGACCAGTGTTAAGATTTTAAAGTTTATACGAGCCTCCATTGGTAACCAGTGAAGCGATTTAAGGACAGATGTTATATGTTGACGTTTTGCTGTTCTTGTGATGATTCTGGCACAGTTGTTCTGAATTATTTGAAGTCGCTTTATTAAATGTTGAGATATTCCAGCCAAGGCACTATTACAATAGTCCAATCTTGAAAAAATTAGAGACCGCAGCAAAAGATGACAAGCAGCAGTAGTCAATAGATGACGAATGTTTCCTATACTACGGAGATGAAAATTACAAACACGGCATAACTGATCAACCTGTTTTTCCATTGTTAAAGACGGATCAAATATAACACCTAGATTTTTAACCCTTGTTGCAAATTCAATACTAGAGTCGCAAATTACAAGACGAGAATCAGGAGTTGATGCGAGACGCTAAACAAACATGTATACGCGATTACTTTGAATTCACAACTAGATAAAAAAAAGTACATGTATTGTTATTGTTATACTACATGAATAAAAAATATATGCAATCTATATCTTTATTTTTTGTGGTAGGGATTGGGGCAATATTGGATACCTCTAGTCAAAGAGCACCTCCATTAAGCAAGCATTTTTAAATTTCCCTTGGGTGCTTGCTTAATACAAGTTCTCTTCGACATTGAAAATACGAATTTCTTTGCAATTTAAATCAGCATTGGTGTTGTGATCTTACCTGGAAAAGATGGGCTTCTGATATCCAATATTTTAGACAAAATAAACATTTTACCATCGGTACACGAATCGTGTACCATAATGCATCGTGTACCATAATGCGTTTCAGTGCCATTTGTAACAAGGTGCTCAAAGAATGAGGCTAGACATATTCCACAAGTCATGTCAAACAGTGATATCATATTCTTATTTGGAGAGCATGCGCAATAAATAATATTGGTGTTGACTGGAATAACCAGACGCTAGAAACTGACTTGCGGTTGAGACGCTAGAAACGGACACGATTGAATGTAAAACAGTTTATATAAATTCATATTATATTATTATATGTGTTGCGACCCATTTGTGCCAATTTCTAGGTCCAAAATATTAGCGATTTAGCTCCTTTAACTACTACTACTAGACTCAATGACAGACCAACATATTAACCATTCAGCCGCCCCTCCACCCCCTTAATGTCAAGAGAACAGAAGAATACCAATTTCAGGTCTTTAAACCAATCTATTTATTAATAATTTAATCATCCATTGACATAACAAGTAAAACAACTTTGTTGTTATTATAAGAAAACACAATAAAATATTTTTATAGACACAACATGTTAGACTGTTGTCCAATGTCTCAACTTATTAAAAAAAATAAGAAAATTAATAAGAATGAGGTAAAAAAACATGAAAAATAAAATAGCTAAAATTTTACCAACGATAATTCACACATATTTAGTCAACCAATAAGATGTGAATAAAGGCTTATAATATAGCATTGAGACAAAATTTTAGAAGTGTAAATTCTTTCTTCGGATATAACAGACTTAGAATGATTCTTCAATTCTTTAAGATACCGGAACATAAATATACATATATCGTCATACAGTACTGACAGGCCAGTTACTGCACTTAGTAAGGTATCCTAACTAGTGACTGCCTTCAATGTACAAATTTTGTTATATTTAAGGAAACTCCGATAATAGGATTAAAGTAAATGTTGTAATTAAAACTGACATGTCGATAGATGAACAATGCATAAACTGTTAACCAATATAATAAATCAACTAAAACAATAGATGGGATTAATGTCGTTACCCAATGACGGCTTGAAAAGTGGTGACAGGTTAACGACTTGCTAGCCTAGCCAGTTGATCTTGAAGTGGTTAATGTAAGAAACATTAATTATTTTGATCTTTTAGAGGCATTTAGTAACTGGATAGAGCAATAAACTATAACACATACTTATGGGAAAACAATTACTGATTTATTTGGGCGACGTTTCGAAGAGTATTCTCTCAACGTTTTCAAGCAAGTACAGTAACAAATGTGTAGAGCAATTATATATAGACAAGCAATAACAACAATTCAGAAACCATGCATGACAACAACAAGATCAAAGGATTAAAAAACAACATGATCAAAGGCAATATACATATGACCGATTATAGGGGTAAATAATTTTAATTGGACAACCAATCATGACAAATGAGAAACCATACATGATGTGATTGGCTAGGTGAGGGTACATCAAGGGAATAATAAAGGACTGATAATAGGGGTAAACATACCATTAAACCAAACAAAAGGGAAGCCATACATGTTACGAAAACATCAGAGGAGTAGTGAGCTACATAGGGATTAAATGGTTAAGCCATATTTAAGTGAATTACAAAATATTAGTATTAAAATGCACACAACATAGCACACCTAATGATAGTCCAACATTCTTCCTTCCGACAGACTCACACATACATTTATTCCTATTCCTTTGTAAACAGTTAAGTGTCTCTTGTACTTATCCTAGGAATAAATGTATGTGTGAGTCTGTCGGAAGGAAGAATATTCATTTATGCCCACATTCAAGAGGCTTTATCATTTTCACCAAGAAAATAAGTTACTTGAACAGTATGATGAATATGAAAATGTTCACTTTAAAAAGTCATCAATTAAATTATTCAAACTTATATTTAAATTCTTTGACACTGACGAATGCGCTGGCTTTTTCATCATAATCGCTCCATTCCTGAAAAGTAAAAGTTATCTCTTATTATTCCATATAAATCCACATAGATACAACTAAAACCCTGTGGGGAGCCATGGTGACTCAGTGAGTAAGACCCCGGAGGTCCCGTGTTTGATCTCTGTGTTGACCGAGGAAGTTCATCTGGATTTTCTGGGGTGGTTCCCTCTTGTCAATAGTGTAGGACAGAGGCCTGCTAAGGAGCAGAAAAGTAGGACCTTAATCCCCATTTAATTTTAAAGCCCTGTGCACACCAAAGATTATTTGTCACTGAATGTGCAAAAGAATTCCAACTGGTTACACAGGGATGTTTATTTAACTCTGTGTCATGAGTAAGCTTGGGATCGACACCACGCCACTGACTGGAGAACCCAGAGACATCTTGAGGTTGGACAGACGACCATACTTCTTGTCATGAGTAAGCTTGGGCTCGACACCACGCCACTTTTACTCAATGACTGGAGAACACAGAGACATCACAAGGTTGGACAGGCGACCATACTTTTTGTCATGAGTAAGCTTGGGATCGACCCCATGCCACCTTTACTCAATGACTGGAGAACCTAGTGACAAATCACGAAATTGGACAGGCAACCATAGTTCTTGTCATGAGTAAGCTTGGGATCGACACCACACCACTTTTACTGAATGACTGGAGAACCTAGAGACATATCACGAGGTCGGACAGGCAACCATAGTTCTTGTCATGAGTAAGCTTCAGATCGACCCCATGCCACCTTTACTCAATGACAGATCTTATGATCTAAAGTGAGCATGTTAGATCATTCCACCCCCAACAAATCAATGAAATGAAATGAAATGGGGTTTAACGTCCTACTGTTCTGCTCCTAACCTGGCCTAATGAAGACGGGCATACGCCATACAGTGTGCTATGAGGGAAATTTTGCCCGGACAGCGGCACTACGGCCTACTCTTATATCGAATTCCAACTGCCAAGGGATCTTTTACGTGCACGCCAATGTGTACACGGGACCTCGGTTTTTCATCCCATCCGAACGACTAGACAGCTTTCCTTGTCAGCCCCTCCGTCCTGCATCACTGACAAGGGAGAACCACGCCGGAAAATCTGGATGAACTTTCTCGGCCAATGCAGGGATCCAACAAATCAAGGGAACCACGTTGACTCAGTAAGGTACTGGTTAACCAGGAGGTCGAGAAAGAGATATATTCATCTTATATTTTACAATATAAAAAGTGGTAATAATAATAATAATACTAATAATAATAATAATAAAATTTGTATAGCGCTGAGTGGCACTCTAATAATAAAACTTTTATGCCATTACAAACTAACATATTATTTACTTACGTTTTCTGTCAAATCCAATTCAAATGTAGCATTAGATTTTTCTCCTTCAGCTTTTACTTTCCATCCATCCTGTCATAGAATATACAAAATTTAATATTGTAAAACAAAAAATTAATTTGCTCTAAACTCACTGCATTTGTCCTAAACTAATTTTGTCCTAAACTAAGGCCAAGTAAAAAAATATTCTGATTCTCAGATACCCCATCATCGCTCAAAAAAAGCTGTATGATCTTTTTTTATTTTCAAAAATAAGAAATAATAAAGGTGTCATTATTTAAAGATACATTATGTAAGATTTAGATTAAGAGCTAGCCATTCTTGCTATAATAGTTCGAAAATAGATAATGTAAAATGAATAATTTGAAAATTTCATTCAAATTACTCTATTGCGGCGAAGATATTAGCCTTTGAAGGTTTGACAAGACGTTTGCAATAATTTCAACCACCGTACTTGTTGTTCGAAGCTAAGTCTTGCTACTCTTGATTATGGCCTGGATAAGTTAATTAATGTCTTATAGTTTATATAAAATTTCAGGCCTAAAGAAAGACCTGCAATAGGCAGATTTAGCTCTCGCATAATGTATGTTTAATCAACACCTGTTGGAGAGAGAGAGAGAGAAATGGGGTTTAACGTCCACTCGACACAAACTAGGTCATTTCGGGACTAACATATGGTTCAATTTTATTTCAATAATTCGCTTGCGCGTAGGGGTCTTTTAGCAGTGGGAGGAAACCGGAGGACCTGGAGAAAACCCACGAGGTTGGACAGGCGACCCTACTCCTTGTCATGTACAACCCTGGATTCGAAACCACGCCAGTCGACTCAATGATACAGCGCGCACACGCTAACCATTCAGCCATCCACCCCCCCCAACACCTGTTGGAGTTTGGGTTGCAGGAAGTAAAACTGTAAACAGATGAATCTGAAAATGTATCGTAGCTTCCATTATCAAGTACACAACACTGATCAATGTTATTGACAATTATAACTGATACTGGATAACCATACATATAACAACATTATGGGATTTATCTCAGTAGTGATCCTTTAACAAAATAAAAGCACAAAAACTAAAATAAAAATCTCCCTCCTGCATCAGATTTTTTAGGAAGGATTGTCTGAGAACAAGAATATATCTTTTTGTAAGGGCTAATGTCTTCATTTGTTCTATCTCCAATTTTTTCTAAACTAATATCTTTCATCTTTTTCTAAACTTATTTCTTCATTTGTTCCAAAATAACTTTATTGTTTGTTCCAAAATAGTTTCTTCATTTTGTCCTAAACTAACTTGACTTGTTGTACTGTCTTCAATCGTCTGGTTGGTGCTAAAAAGTTTATTTCATTTTTTTCAAACTAACTTTGCATTTGTTCTAAAATTGTTGTTTCATCTCTTCCCATAATGTTTTCCAAATTCTACTAAATTTCTTTTAAAATAATCAAATCGAATAAATAAAGGAGAGGATTGGAATGAAGTTAAACGGTTTTGTCAACACAGCATGTGTCGAGAGAGACAGAAAAATGGGGTTTAACGTCCACTCGATACAAACTAGGTCATTTCGGCGGGACTAACATATGGTTCAATTTGTTTTTCAATAATTCGCTGGAGGGTCCCTAGGGGTCTTTAGCCGTGAAAGGAACCAGAGGAACTGGAGAAAACCCACGTAAACCCAGGGAAACAAATCACGCCAGTTGACTCGATGACAGACCTAATAATACAACGCACACATGCTAACCATTCAGCCACCCAACCCCCAACAGCATGTCAGTGATTTTAAGACTAACAAATTGTTATACTTTCGATAGTCAATACTAGGGCAGAGAATTTTGCTTGGACAGTAGCGTTTTCATCTATACTTCATTGAATTCCAACGGCAAATTACATATATACAGTAATCATGTATAAAAACTTACGTTTGGTTTAAATTCTATAGGCTGTACTCCACGACAACCAAATGTTACAATTGTTTTAAATTTTCCGGAATCTTCCGACATACAACTTGATAAAGAATCTTTCATGATATCTGTAAATATAGGAGAGAACAAGACAATAATTAAAGATGGCCATATGCCATGTAGTATGCTATGAGGGAGAGAGAGAGAGAAATGGGGTTTAACGTCCACTCGACACAAACTAGGTCATTTCGGGACTAACATATGGTTTAATTTTATTTACATAATTCGCTTGCGCGTAGGGGTCTTTAGCAGTGGGAGGAAACCGGAGGACCCGGAGAAAACCCACGAGGTTGGACAGGCGACCCTACTCCTTGCCACGTACAACCGGAGATTCGAAACCACGCCAGTCGACTCAATGACAGACTTTATGATACAGCGCGCACGCTAACCATTCAGCCATCCAACCCCCCTATGCTATGAGGGACATTTTGTCTGGACAGTGGCACTATGACCTACTCTTACTTCCAATTCCAACTGTCAAGGGCTCTTTTACATGCACACCAATGTGTACACAGGACCTCAGTTTTTCATCCATGCAGAAAACTAGACACTGCTCCTTGTCAGGCCCTCTGTAATCCACCACTGACAAGAGGAAATGAAATGAAATAGGGTTTAATATCCTACTATCTGCTCGGAACTGGGCTAATGAAGACGGGGATACGCCATACAGTGTGCTATGAGGGAAATTTTGCCTGGACAGCGGCACTACGGCCTACTCTTATATCGAATTCCAACTGCCAAGGGATCTTTTACGTGCACGCCAAGCTGTCCTTGTCAGACCCTCCGTCTTGCATCACTGACAAGGGGGGAACCACGCCGGAAAATCTGGATGAACTTTCTTGGCCAATGCAAGGATCGAACACCTGACCTCCAGCATCTTACCCACTTTGGCACTGTGACCCCCCTGGAAAATCCTGAGGAACTATCTTGGCCAACATGGCTCCCACCAGAAGCCAGATTCTCTGTGTATAACTTGCGTTTTTTTTCTCCAGAAAATATCAAATTTTCCTTAAAGCAAATTACTGGGTTAATTTTTTTGATCAGTGATCATAATGACAAACCTATCGAGTTTTCTCGTTCACATAATTTACACTTTATAACTAAACTGGCCGACCCTCTTCCTCCAAAAAGTTTACTACTTTCCTAATAAAAAATAAAATACATAAATTATAAACAGGTTGAGTAAACAGTGTGATTGTTTTTGTAGATATTTTTACAGGCTTTAAAACTTTGGATTAAAAGGCTGTCCAACTTTCCTGAATTGAGGGACCACCAAAAGTTAATAGATTAATAGGTCACTCGAGCTCTCAACAGGTCACCTAAATGAATGTGATCAACAGGTCACCTAAATGAATGTGATCAACAGGTCACCTAAATGAATGTGATCAACAGGTCACCTAAATGAATGTGATCAACAAAATGAAATGAAAAGGGGTTTAACGTCCCCCTGTTCTGCTCCGGCACTGCGGCGTACTCTTATATCGAATTCCAACTATCAAGGGATCTTTTACGTGCACGCCAATGTGTACACAGGACCTCAGTTTTTTGTCCCATCCGAACGACTAGACAGCTGTCCTTGTCAGGCCCACCGTCCTACATCACTAACAAGGGAGAACCACGCCGGAAAATCTGGATGAACTTTCTCGGGCAATGCAGGGATCGAAGATCAACAGATCACCCAAACGAACTTGATCAATAGGTCACCCACACTCTCTTGATCAACAGGTCACCCACAATCCCTAGTTCAATATTTACAGAAAGAGAGATGAAATCGAGGTTTATTGCCCACTTGACACAAACAAGGACATTTTGAGACTAACTTATGGTAAATGATAAAAGAAATTTACTTACTGACAAACAACAGAACACAAAGTCTGGAGTTTCTTCATTACAGTTCATACATTGTAACTGAAAATATAAATATAATAATTCATACATAGTAGATTAGCTGAAAATATAATAATTATTCATGCATTGTAAATGAAAATATACTGAGCGCCATGGAAAACGCATCACTTAGTTTTTCGTATAACAAAATGATCCTGTAAACATATCTTATTTATTTTGCTTCTTATTGTGAACAGTATTCAAATGGGAACACATCAATAACAACACATTTGTACACTTATGGATGTTTAATCTGTAATCAACGGTACAAAGTCAGAGGGGTCAAAACCAAAAGTACGACACAGATGTCAGTAGTGCGTGTGTCCTCCACGGGCCATCATCACAGTAGGCTACAGCATTAACGCGACCCCTGCAAATGTGTAGGGCGGTCCGGTGATGAAATGTGAAGCCTACCTACACCTTTACACTTCCCCCACCCCATCGATTCGTTTCGAAGATGCAGCAGTCTGCAAGACGTTCCCCAAGACGTCTCCACACACGTTGACGGCCATCAGCGTAATAAAGATGAATGCGACTCTCATCACTGAAGAGCACACTTTGCCAGTCTACTCTTCTCCATGTCTGGTGTCCTTGAGTCCATATCAAACGCCGCTGACTGTAATGATCCCTGAGGATAGCTCCAACATAAGGTCGTTGTGCACGGAGTCCTACTTCTCTTAGATGACGTCTTACGGTGTTGGCACTTACTGATCCTTGTCTTCCGACGACTGCTGCACCTGTTCGAGTCGCTGGGCGGAATCTGTCACGCAGATGAGTGACCCGGATGTAGCGGTCTTGAGCCTGGGTTGAAACGCGTAGTGGACCAGGACGTTGACGGTCACATGTTGATCCAGTAACTCGAACACGTTCAACCAACCTTACAATAGTGGACTGATGACGATTGAAGTGTCTGGCAATAGCACGTGTAGACATGCCAGCCCTGGACATTCCGTTGATTTTTGATAAGTCTCAGCATCTCTAGCTCGTTTCCTTCACACGTCCAACAACAAATTTCGACAGATTGACGTTTCACAGTTGATGTACTGCACATTAAGTTGAAAACATGCTTTTAAAGGGCTCACACACAATGCTGCACTTGAATATTGGGTTTTTCAAGTGCATCTCGTGTAATTTTTTTTGTGCACATGGGCCGACATTTTTTTCGTTTGGGAGCATTGTGTGAAACAATAGTTCATAGTATTGCATAATATTATACATACAAAACCACCTAGTAATAAAATATTTGGGAAAAAAAAGTGATGCGTTTTGCATGGCGCTCGGTATATGATAATAATTCATACAAAGTTTCCATCATCAGAGCATACTGTATAACACATGCCCGTCTTCATTAGCCTGTTGAAAAGTAAGACGTTAATAAACCCCACTTCATTCACAAAATCTTTTGGAAACTGTCCTTTATTAAAAATGAACGTTTTACACTATTTTGAGGCTTAATAAAGTGAAATCATAATTAGGATAGCATAATTAATTATTCAAATGAAATAATTAAGACTCATTTAGTCAATAAATCCTGAACATTTCAAGAAGAATCAAAAGAGGAATCTTTGAATTGAAATACATGTACTTTATTAAGTATGATGGCTGGCTGTTGTGGTGAGTGATGTTTCTTGTCAGTGAATTTGTCTTGTTTGGTTGCCATGACCTGTGGTAAGGTTCTCAAGTCCTTACACTATTAGATATGCTTAAACCTACATTATGCAAGAGCTAAATCTGCCTATTGCAGTTCTTTTTTTATGCCTGAAATGTTATCTAAATTATTAATTAGACATTAATTGACTTATCCAGACCATAATCAACTCTCAATGTAATCGTTAGCCAGCAATATTTACTGGATTGGAACACATTTTTTGAAAAATATTAAATGTAAAAATAGATAATCGTAAAATGGTTCAATTTTATTTCAATAATTTGCTTGCGCGTAGAGGTCTTTAGCAGTGGGAGGAAACTGGAGAACCCGGAGGAAACCCATGAGGTTGGACAGGCGACCCTACTCCTTGTCACGTACAACCGGGGAATTGAAACCATGCCAGCTGACTCAATGACAGACCTTATAATACAGCGTGCAACAGAGAGAATGACTGAAATAACCAGATGAATGTGTCAAAAGACAGGTTCACCAGACAAATGATAGAGGCTAACCAGACGAATGACAAAGAGGCACAGGTTCAACAATTAATGACATGAGTTCATCAAACAAAGGACAAAGTGAATGACAGACCAGTCAAACGACAAAGTGAATGACAGGAGATTTCCAGTTGAATAACAAAGATAATGGCAACTCTGGTCATAGCATATCTATTTTTAAAATACAGATGTGACATCATCCTTTGATGTTGGCCTATCATTTTTTCAAATAATGGTACGGGCAATGTGCCGAGAGTACATTATTTATACTAGTTAAAATTTTGGACCCCAATGACATATTTCATGGCAAAGCATGTGCAAGTGTCTGTATTTTAAGTTGTTTACTGGTCTCGAGCTTCAGACATTGCGTAATATATTGACACAAACAATAAATTTTACTTAATGTCTCGCTCTTGACCATTAAACCACACATAATATATTTCATATATGTTAAAACACGTATTTGAAAAATACATTTAGGTCTACGTGTAATATTGAATGTATAAAATCGATATGTTTTGATCCCTTGAATTGTATTATTTAAAATACACGAATAAGGTTATAAATTGTAAATAATACATAAATTGGAATAGAAACTGAAAACAGATTAACACCCCACCGTGTGGGATATTTCATTCAAATATTGTGAAAGGTTTGGCAATAAAATTGAAATTATCATTGAGTTATTCAACATTGAATCGTCCTATTCTAGTCGTCTCAACATGTTGTTGTCACAGCAACGGGTTACTTCTGCTAAACAACTCAATAGAAACGAGTAAAGTATTATAAAAGAAAATGAATCTAAAGTGTATTTCATGACATGTTTTGACTGTAAGACACAAAGTGTTACTGAATGGGCCTCGAGATCTATATGTGATATACTATTTTGATACTGTCATTATAGTCCTTTAAAATCCTTGTCTAACTCTCCTATTCATATGTTAAAAGTCAACACGCAAATATTGAAATTGGGTTATGTTCAGGTATTAACTTACAGAATGTTGTTAGGCCTATTTTGATGAATCACTATTAGCCTATAAAGTTATCAAAATTCAAGTTGTAATGCCGTACATGAGCATTATCTTAAGGGATAATATCATTGTTTGTTGTTGCCCTTTGTCCAGCTTTTCTATAGGTTGATCACCCGAGACTTGGAATTTGCCATGGAGTAGGCGGACCGCCAATCTCAATATGAAAATGAAATTTGGTTTAACGTCATACTGTTATGTACCAACTGGACTAATGAAGACGGGCATACATCATATGCAGGGTACTATGAGGGAAAGGGGCGCTACAGTCTACCCTCATTTCGAATGGACTAATAAAGACGGGCATATGTCATGCAGGGTACTATGAGGGTAAGCGGCGCTACGGACTACCCTTATTTCGAATGGACTAATAAAGACGGGCACACGTCATGCAGGGTACTATGAGGGTAAGCGGCACTACGGTCTACCCTTATTTCGAATTCCAGCTGCCTAGGGCTCTTTAATGTGCACTGATCCACCGCGGCTCCCACTCTCAAGACAAGCAAGGAAAGCGTCAATGTGGGCATAATATCTGGTCAGCCAATGGTGGGATGTAATGGCACAGAGTGAAGGGGGGGGGCTGACAGAGTAGCAATATGAAAGGCTCCCCCAAATTAGATGACCTTACTCCACCACTGCAAATATCTGACCGTTGCTGAAAATTATTCAACAAATTTCATGCAGTTAGTACATGTAAATGTGTTTGCTTAGCTTTTGCCTTGGGGCGGTTATGGACGTATATTTACAATTAGAACTTCCCAACATGGGAATTTACTGCTTTTGACGATGGTCTAAGTGGAAAGCATTTGTGATGCACAAATACATCCTCTCAGCATGACAAAAAATTTGAACACAGGTGGATTTTATAAGTTGAGTTGCAGAACGTCTGTAACTTTTTTTGCCAAACGCGAATTTTGGTGGATTTTGTTCCTGAAGTTGAAATCAAAAGTAAGAATCATTTGTTTTAAATTTTTTTCCCCAGCTTATGTAAATCTGAAGTTCTCCTACAGGCCTAATAATATTCTTTGTATGAGAAGAGGTGTGATAATAGAGAAGAGCGCAGCTAAAAACATTGAGACAAACAAACCACCAAAGTGTGCGCATTGATTCACCCTGTCGCGAGTTCAACTAGGCCTAGTAGAGATAATTTTCGCTGCATGGCCATGGGGCACACTATCCACTGAAGTAAAACAAAGAAAACTTCAATCAATATTTTTTAAACTCAATACTATAACTGAATTGAAGGGAGCAGTTATTGCTAAGAAATTCTTTGTCATTCGTCATTATTCAGATTAGGGAAGCCCGGAATACCTTCATACACCATCTAAAATCTTCTTGATCAGCGGGCTGCAGCTCTGTGACATTCTCCAACTGGGCGTTGATCTGGAGGGATATTTTCTGAAATAAAGATAGGATTGTGTATTAATAAAGTTAATCTCCAAATAATCAAGACTAATAATAAACTCATAAAAACATGGGAATTGTAAACGTGTTTAGTAAACATGCCACCATCTTGAGAAGGGAAGTAACCCATACTAATCAGGACTTAGACTAGCATTGACTTCAATGTTAAATGGCTGTAACATCACAGGCTGTAGCTTTTTGCTCAACATTCCGTTGGTTCCAATCTTTATAGGCACAATGGGGACCAGATTTGGCAATCTCCTCATCATAATTTTGTAGGGGGTTGACCGTTTAGATTTTTTACTACGGGGATTTGAAGTTGACTGGTGTGAAAATCTCACTTCCGACACAATGATTGCTCTGCAGAAAGACACTTTACACTCCCTATCCCTCCGCTCTAATATCATCAGTATTACCCAAAACTTCGATGAAATTGCAAATTTGATCCCTTTTCTCCAATTCTAGACCAAAAAGTCAACCAAAAAATGCAGGAAGAGGGGAGAAAAAAATTAAGGGAAAAATTGTCTATTTATAACTCGCACAATTACCAGTCTCAGTCCATAAGGAAAGTTACAACTCATTTGCAGGCGCCATTTTGGGTCCCAATTATGACGCCATGGCTTCATACAGGTTTACATACCAAAATTTGTTTTTTTCTTGCAGTGTTGAGGGATAACGTTTTATCCTAAACAAAATGCAAAAGAAACCAATGCAGTTTCGTTCAGTGATAAATATATCACACAAAATCATACTCAAAATCGGGGAACTTTCTGAGAGCAATATCTCGTAATCAGTGTGTTTTAGGCCTACTATTTACCCAAACACAGAGTGGTTATGCAAGCGAAATGTGCTGAAGAATCGAATTTGACAATAATCAATTAAAAAAAAGTATTTTTTATATGGTGCCGGGTGTTTCTTTCATAATGGTCACCAAATTTTGTAATATTATTATTATTATTATTATTATTATTACAGCATATTTATAGCGCGCCCTTTTATAAAACATGTTCATGGGCATTTTACAAAGGGGCAATGTAATCATAAATAACAACAAGATTATGGACATGTTAACGATTGTATACACAGTCAGTTAAAAGCCTCATTAAATAAATGTGTTTTAAGTTGTTTTTTAAAAGAATATAGAGATGTACAACATCTTAAACTAAACTGGTGCTTGATAACTAAAAGGGTGCTGACCATAAGAGACTAGTTGAACAGTTTTGGGCTTTAAAAGTAGTTTATCTGATGTACGTATAATGTTCGTCCATTATATCGTGATTATTTACGCGAAATGTGCGGAAATCGAATTTGACAAACATCAATTAAAGAAATGTATTTTTCATGTGGTGCCGGGCATTTCTTTTAAGGGCTGCCGAATTTGGCAATATAAGGTCATTTAACAACCCCCCCCATAAATTTGGTATAATAAAAGGGCATCTCTTAAGATACGTAAGATATGACTTTTGCTATGTCTTTTATATGGTTTTCGATGTCTCGAATTTGAAGATAAATTTTGAAAATACAAAATAGCAGCAACACAAATTGGCGGATATTGAATTAATCGTCATTTTTCCTGTTGGATATTAGATAGTGTCTCTAAACTATGATGTACACTGTAGTTCGATGTACCCTGTAGTTCAGATACAGTCTCCAAACCGTGTTTACACTGTAGTTTTTTGGTGTAGTTCGTCAAATGAAGATGAAGTTTACGATATATCCATCCTGAAATAACAAAAAATGAATATATTGTAAATGCGCTTTAAATATCTGAATGCGATAGACTTCGTGATAAAAAATTCAAGGTACAGCGTTAGAAAGAAAGATATATACCCTTAATCCTGGTGCCGATAAATTTTGGGTTGTGTGGAACATGCTAACAAATCTCGGGTACGATATATGTTTGATACTGGTTGATAACAGCATCAGAGCAACATGGTTGTTTTCATTGGAAATGAGACGCAAATATTCAAAGGGGTCAGACAAACTCTAAACCAACTGCGTCACCTTCACTGAGCCCCTTCAAAGGGGGGCCCTGACTGTTTACCTGTGGAATAACATGCATTTGTATCTGTTAAATTTGTGTGGTAGACAGATTGATATTATTTATACATAGGCGGGGAGTGATAACGTCTTACCCCAAACAAATTGTAAAAGAAATCAGGAAGTTTCTGAGAGCGATATTTCGTAATCAGTGTATTTTAGTGGTGGGGGAATAAATAATTTCTTTTTAAATTTTTTAAATACAAACTGGTCATAGAGGCGAAATATGCCGAAAAACGAATTTGACAAAATGACTGTCAAATTTAAAATGGCATTTTCCGACAAGACCAGCGATAATCTCGTAAGATATGACTTTTACTATGTCTTTTAAATGGTTTTCGACGTCCTTAAAGGTCACCGCCGAAGTCGTGAAACGTACCGTTGGGGGATTTGTTCGGGCCTGTCTCCCCCAGAAAATTTCTAGAAATTTCAAGTCGGAAAACGCATTGTCTTGCCAGGCCGCGAATACGGCAACCTGAAACAAATATGCCCGAAGCAAATTTCGCTGTTAGTGCGACCCATTTGTGACAATTTCTAGGTCCCAAAAAAAGCGATTTAGCTCCTTTAAAAGCGAATGAAGTTAAATATGTTTAATAGCGCTTTTATCTAGTGTATCTTTTATTTTGATTTTTCGTATAGAATAAGGCTATATAGCAGCAATTATGTGCGCTTTTTGTTGCATAATACTAATAATAGTATGTTCAGCTAATAGTATGCATTCGAAATGAAATGGGCTTAAAGAGACAATAACACTCTTGCTGACTTGGCAGCTCCAGCAAATAAATAATAGCCTTATTCTAAGTATTAGATGTTTAAGTGTCCTACCTGTTGTGTAAATTATCCATTACATCCTATTTTACTTGTCCAGAGGGTTTGAAAATATTTTTAAATCCAAGTCACATTTGAAAAGGTTTACGTGAGGCTTTTCAAATCATTTAGTTGAATTTTTCCAATTTTTTAAATTAGATGTGTTAACATGAAATTTGTATCATCAATTAATTGGAATATTCTAAAAAAGTACAATTTGTCGACCATAATAAAGATTGGGACATATTATTCAGTTGCGACAAGAGTGGTATTGAGCCTTTAAAAAGGCTGCAATTATTCCCGTTCCAATGTTCGGCCAATATATTGTTGACCTGGTGTCAGTGGCCTAGGTGCTCTATGAGTTCATACCGATGAGTAAAAATACCTAATATTTCCGACAAGAGATGTAAGAAAACATAAACCGGGCGGAGCGAGTCAAATAAATTTATTCTAGTTGTCTTTAGAAGCCTAATAAAATACAAATATACTTTAAACGTTTTTATATAATAAATGATATGCTGAATGCCTCATCTGGGATGAAAATTTTATGTAATAGATATGTAACTCAGTAAAACCATTTCTAGCGGATCGAGCTAAGCTACTATAAAGGAAAATGAAACACTTTTTGAAGCTTGACATGGATCCATTTCATGTTTATGTGAAAACTAACCATTTTTCGAGCAATTTCAAATTGTTAGGCAAATATATATATCATTAGCCAAATCAGACACTTAAAGGGCAGATTATTAACTTATTTGTTATATTCATGAAACACGCAAAATAAATAGTTAAATATACGTAGGCTATTTGGTACGAAAGAGTAGGCCTATTATATTTAATCCCCACCCCATCCCCATACTGTCCCAATTTACATAAAGCATTTAACTGGCGTCCAGATTGTAGTCAGATACCGAAGCTAAATAGGGCCATGTCACTTTTTGTTTACCTAAATTTTCAACTTAGTATCTTGAAATTTTGCCTATTATTGCACGTTTTTATTTTGGCTTCAAATATTTATTAAAATGACAAGTCCATAATCATCCCTCTTGACCATCGGATGGTCCAGATGTAAACGGATTAACAAGTAACGTTGCGACGATAATAAACAATCTATGTAAAAACTTCAAACAGTGATAATATCGCTCAGAATAAAGTAATTTGAATAATTTTAAATATATAAATTTTGATTTATCGGTTTTGGAACTATTATAACAACAACGACCAACTCTTTATCTAAATCTTACACAGCGCATCTTTAATAATATTATCTTGAAATTTCAACTTTGTATCGTAATGAAGACATAATATCCTAAAAAGAAATCTGCATTTAATATAAAAAGAAATGCTTCTTCCTCCCGATTATAGCTTTAATAAAGTGCTTCCGGTGTCTTCATTAGATCACCCGGTGTAGGTTATAGGTTACAGAGTGTCATTTAAAAAAATCCATTTGTTATGTTACGTTTCCCTGATAATTCATCACCAACGACGGTGTTTTGTATAAATTATAATTTTTTTAACTGATCCGTGAGAAAATAAGTGTACATAGCTTTTTATTTTATTTAAAGAGATATTATATTGAAAGCGGGAAAATTATACAATAACGCAATATAAAAAAAAAACAACAAAAAAAAACAGTGCAGTAAATTATTACTCAGTGAACACGAAAACTAGCTTGATGCACAATAATATTAATTACACAATAATATAAATAAATAATTAATAATAATAAAAAAAATAAACATTGTAAAAAGTACAAAGCAATAAAAATACCACACACATTTAGACATATCCGTTCAAACTTTCACAGCAGTAACGTACAATTCTTTTTTTTTTACGTAACCAAGCGAATATTCACAGCGGATCCGTTAATTGCCATTCATTTATAACTAAAGGAACCCCATTGTATTGTATATTGTTCAAATAAGTACGAATTATATGTTGATAGTATTTGTCTGTTCAACTTCGTTAAAGTCTCTGAATGTCGTTTAAATGAAATGAAATGGGGTTTAACGTCCTACTGTTCTCCTGCTTCCACTGGGCTAATGAAGACGGACATACGCCAGAGGCAAATTTTTCCAGGGCAGCGGCGCTATATTGGCCCACTATTATATCAAATTCCAACTGCCAATGTATCTTTAACGTACACGTCAATGTGTACACTGGACCTCGGTTTTTCGTCCCATCCGAACGACTAGACAGCTGTCCTTGTCAGGCCATCCGTCCTGCACCACTAACAAGGGGAAACCAAACCGGAAAATCCCGATGGACG